GATCCTGAATAAGCCAGACAAATTCGTAACCAGTATACCGGAAGTTTAGGCATTTTGTACGATCGTGTGCTTCGACACCGAAAGATCACGAGGAACAAATGAGATACGACGTGGAATACCAATCTAAACGTCCTGGCTAGATCGTTGAAGGGTATTTTAATGTTGGTCGAGGACCCCTCTAAAGCATTTCAAAGAGATACCGAGAAGTTCCACAATCCCAAGATTACAATAGTAGAATTGAGTATCGTTGGCGTGCCTAATCACATATATAGTCAAGGCATGCGAGCATATCAACAGTGGGATGAGATTAAAAAACATAGCGGGAGCAAAGCGTTTGGTTACTTACTCAAAAATACAACTCTGTTCTGAAACAGATCTTAATCATTCCGATTTCATTTCAATCCCATACTGATATCCAAACAAACGTTCCGCTAATGTCCGGTTAAATCTTTCAACGATAGCTTGACTACGGTGGGCCTCTTTTTCACCATGCCCGATTGTGACATCTTGCTTAGTTAACATTTTAGTTACCGATCCCATAAACTCGCGACCAGGATCTACTTGAAATAACGTGGGCCATTTTAGTGGTCCGCGTTTATATATGCGACTCAGTGCATTAGCTACTTCTGTTGTATCTTTCAAAGTTAATGGTTCAGCCTCCTTGTAGCGACTAGCCTCATCCACTACGGTTAAAGCGTATTTATATGTTTTGCATCTTACCTTATCATGGGGAAGAAACATGGGGTCAGCCTGATGAACGTCATTCGTTGCAAAAATATCAAATTTCTTCCTCGGGATATAACGCGGTGCTGGTAAGTATATTTGCCACATTGCTTGTTTCTTTAGCCAATCCTTGGCTACATCTTTAGATACCTTAGCCGCAGTGGCTAATTTTTGTATTGCTCCTATACCTTTCCAATATCCTCGTGGTCTAGAGTAAATTTTATCCATCATTAATTAATATTGATGATTCTTTTAATACGAATCATGACGATCATTGAATCGCATCATCATTTTTGCATAAAAAATTCCCTCTGTAGTAGCAGTATAGGTATATAAATCTGGCTCCAGTGGGAGTGGTCCAGAACCATCATTACTTATACTACTAAAGTGTATACAATAATTTATATATAAGCAACTCACTGTTACGCCAAAGCTATGGTATTTAAGAACACAAGAATATGTTATACATACGTAGCTGAGAATTGTAAACAATTTGATAACCTTGGCAGGAAAACGATTGGAACACAATTCAAATAGGCGGCGAACAACAAATATGTGGCGGGGAAAAAAGACAAGAGTCTTTTCACGCCTCATTAATTCACATAAAACGAAACAACATAGTGAAAGTAATATGAAAAGAATACATCACCCATTGCAGATCAATTTTAGGATTGTAGACGAAAACTGAAGGTCTAAATTAATCCAAAAGGAAGCTCTGCTGGGACACGTCCTTGCTGTAGTGCAACAAGCAGTGATGTGAAGAAGATGACCTAAGGTGTCATCAAGGTCACAGGACAGCGACGGAAGGTCAGTAAAGGGACTTCAGAACAACAACTTTATTTCTTCACCAAGGACCTGTGCCAGCACAGAGTTGACAGCCACTACATATGTACTAACGGTACTTCCCCAAATTTTTATACTATAGTCGTATATAAGTACAACACATATAATCTTGAAGCTTGAAGCCAAGCCAGGCTAATCTATTTACTTAACACTTAACCATGAGACCTATTACAAAAGATAACAAACTAAAAGAGGGGTTGATGGACCCCAGTCATGTCAGTTATTTAGGTGATCTTGCTTTGGTGTTTCATATTTCCCATATTTGAAACAGGATGCGGTTAATTCGTAGACACTGCCAACTCATGGACACAATTCATGGTGAACTTAGACAAACCAGGAGTGAATTCAAAGACCCATTTTTTTATATCATTAATACATAGCGGAATATTGATGTGTCTTTCTACAAGAAGGCATAAGATTGGTTTATCACTTCCTTTAAGGGCCAATATGTTGACCATTCTGAAGCTTTGTTTGTAAACAGAAGCTGTTAACCCCCAAACTTTCTTGGCTCTGCTCACCTTATTCAGCAGGAGGCGTTTCTGCTCACGTTAACAAAACAATGGACTGTGAAAGATTATTGTAATCTTGGCCTTGATAAACACTGGCTTCTAATCTAATAAAGTTGGCAATTAGTATTTCTTCCATATGACAAAATCAGGACTCTCTCTTCATTTTGCCTCTAAATAAAAACACAACCGAAGGGTGATATTCTGAGCAACGCTGGGGGTTGTCGACTTACCTCGTATTTATTTTGAAACAACGATCGAATCTCAACCCAAATCTTAGCTGCCGAGGTAAACAAGAAAACGGCACAACACAGTAAATGTTTCTGAGGAAAACAGCGGTAGAAACTAACAGTTTTAGTCCACTAGACCTTATAATGATAACATATAGCAAAACCCTTAAAAATGGCAAATTTCTACTTGTCCTTATGATACCTTAACTATTGGGCAGTTTGGCAAGGACTACAGGACTAAAGTACGCATGGAAATGAAAAAAAACCTGTTTTGCTGGATTTAATAATCGACACAAAGCATTACGTAGATATTAATACGAAATAACAAAACAACTGGAAAAGTACTAGTCTGGATTAGCTAGTTTTATCTCAGTGCTCAATACAAAATGTACTTTACAGGAGGTAATTTGTAGGCACTTTCAACATTCAAAAATAAAACGAAGTCCAAATTGACATGGTAGAAACAGGCTATAGGCATTATGCAAATTAGCATGGAAAAAATTTATCCAAACAACATTAAAAATAACAGCTATGTATATATACATAATAATAATGACATGTAAGTTGTTGTTTGAGAAGGGAATATGTTACTTTTACGTTCTGATATTTTGACGATGATTCACTATCCCACAATGCCACTGACAAATCACATGCACGTGGGTTTCAAGCACCTGTTTTCACCTGTCGTCAAGGTGTCATAGGTCATGGACATTCACCTTGATCTACTAACACCTGGTTATGCTCAGTTTCACAATAGTCTGTCTTGTTCATATATTTACACATTTTTATGTGTAAAAAGACATAAAAAAAACCTTTGAAACGCTTTTTTTGTGCCAAGCCCCAATTAGTACTAACTGAGTTGTTTGAATATTTATATATTTTATATATTAACTGCATTTATTTAAAATCTGAGATCGAAAAAACAGTTTTTTTCATTTCCGTGTGTACTTTAGTGCCAATTTCTAACACTGGGTAAAGAGACCACAGATGAATACAATTGTGTAGCTTATGGTTTGTTTAGCAAGTGACAATAGGTTGAAATAAGTGACATTCATATTTTATGCGATATCAAGTTGTGATTCGTACAGAGTTAGAAATCTTGAATAAAGACCAAGATGGCAGGTGTCACTCCTTGTCTATAGTCTATATGCATAGAGGGGTGTGATGTTTTTCTGTGTGAATATATTATGCTATGTAGCTTGCAACCTCGGGGTATCGCGGTACTTGTCATGTACGCTAAACGGAACAAAATGCACTCACTAACCTTTATGTTTATTCGTGTTCTCTGTATCAGATATCATTAATGTTATCAAACAATGCAGATTTTACTGATAAAAGTTCATTATTTACATTAGTAGCTCCGAGTAAAAGCCGGGCCTCGCGCTCTGTTTGACAAGGGAGAGAACTCCATTGTATCGCGGTACAGAGAAAAGTTGTGTATGGAGGTCTGAATTGGACAAAAAGAGGACATAGTTCTACCAACCACTTGGTATGATCATGCCAGACATCAGTGGTTTGTCCAAACAAGTGCAAAGACAGCACAAGTAAAATTCTAAATGTGTTATCAGTAATAGGTATTCAATGCATATTTACCGAAAAGTAAGAGAAAAATATTTTTATAAGTCAACATCAAAATATCAGAAATGATATTTTAAGATTGTTTAAAAAAAATTGGATGACAATAATTTGTCAAAAAATGTTAAAATGTTAAAAGTCAACAATAAATATATAAAAAGCACTAGTATGCCCAAAGTATGTATTTATCTTTTGGTTACTAGTGAAGAAAGTATTTCTAAGTTTGGCATTATGGCCCTTATGATCTCCCAATAGTTTCTGGGCACAGAGCGGGAAAAATTGTGCGGACTACGTAACTTCCGTTACCTCATTAGTCGCCTTGAATATGCAGATGATCTAGTTCAGGTCGATAGAGAAAGTTTACTTGGGGAACTGCGGTTTATATCGTTGGCCATTGATAGATAGGGGTAAGGCAATATTACAACGGATGCCAGAAATATGTATCAACGGATTAATAACTCCTTACTTACAGCAGACGGAACATTCCGAGGAAATTGAAATTGTTTACGAAGTCAGCAGTTCCTGGTTACTGATTTGCATTAATAGACAGCCGCTAAGAGGCGTGTCCCGCGTGAGCTACCGGAAATCACAAATGCTGCGATACGATGAATGCCGCGGTACCATGGGGTCCGAGTATACATGTTATCATCGAGTTCCTGTGCCTGAAACCATGTATGTTTGAAATACATTTGTCACATAATTCAATACGTATATGTAATAAATCAATACTGAAGTCTATTTTCCAATTAAATTTGTTTTGTCTCGGAGTTCACTGTGAATTTTGTCTATGAATTGGGAGTGTAGAGCTATGAACTCTCCATGGTTACGAATTCACCTACTGCCATTTGAAACTAATTGGCCTTTTGACTGGTCTTATTACCCAATAAACTCCGGGGAAATCATTTAAATGGACTCATATCTGAAAGACTGACAGCTATTTCACCATGCCAATTGCACATAATTGACGTTATTAAATGATAATAATGAAAGCCTAGTTGTAAAACAATATTTCTTGTCTGAACATGTCTAATATCGTAAATTGATACATTCACGCACATAGACAGTCCAAGTCTAATATCTGAAAAGTCAAGAGTTAATACATTCTGAAACCAAGTCTACTTACACGATGTTATCGCGATTACATTTTCATTACACACAGATTAATACACAACTTAACTGGTACAACACTTTCATGATTTTCCAAAACCTTCCTCAACCATTTGTTTGGACCGCCTCAAACATGACCCGGAAATACTCTGTGCGCATGCCCGCCACTAAAACTGGTTCCCGGCATTCGTGAGAACTCGTATCATTCCGGGACAAGTCGCCTAAGCTGGTTCCCGGCTCCCTATGCGCGTCGTCAACTTGCGCCAAGCTAGGAGCCGGTACAGGCCAAAATTAAAAAACACTCAGCGTGTTTATTTGACGTCACATCCGGTGATTTTCAAAAATGTCTAAGTTAATGCCGATACAGGGGAGGGAGGGACACACCTGTGAAAAGCGTGTCATCTTGCGATTGCTGTGGTTAAACCAAAATCTGATGGCGGGCAATTTTATAGAGTGGAAAATAGACAAACAAAATTAACTGACAACAGTCTCGCTAATTTTTTGGAGCGCTAAGGCAGATTTAAAGTGGTTCATGGGTTGAATTCTAAGTGAAGACAGAAAATATTAAAAAAAATTGTATTTCTGAAATTCGATGATTTTGTTTGCGTTTGTATATTCACATAAACCTAAAACAATTAGATCCTGCCCTCTAAATGGTTAAAAGAGCTCCATTGTTGACATATTTATTTACAAGAATTCACTTCTATATTTTGGAGCACCTTTAGAATACGGTACTGTATTCTAAAGGTAGGCCGAAGATTTTATAGATTTTCGGGCAACGAGGTCGATTTACACCTTGTCCAGAATGAAGGCTTACAAAATTCCTAAAAATGTTATGAAGTAGAGAAACTGACACAGGCTAATTTCCCCTTGGATGATAGAGGGACATATTTGTCCCTCCTCTTCAACCCTCACTTTGAAGTCGAATAAAATTCAAACTATATTGTGATATTGGAGACGGGGTCCAGCTTACAAGTCGCCTTGACACAACATAGTTTTAGGTCATTCGTCACCATTCGATTTTTCCCGGAAAAACACGAGTTGGTCACGAATGCCCGTTTTCGCTAAGACGGAACCCCGTCGCACAAATTGCCGGGAACCAGCTTAGGGCACGAGTCGCTATTCGGCTTGTTCCGGAATAACACGGGTTGGTCACGAATGTACGGAAAGGGGCGATAGATGGACTGGTTCCCGTTCGTTCCAAAAGCGACACCAAGCGGTGTATCCGGGAACCAGTCTACTCGGGCATCTGACACGGAAATAAACCATACGCGAGTTCTTCCAAAGGGAACATGGCTGGCAGAAACCTATTCACGAGAATTTCGCCTCTTCGGAAGGCCCTTCCCCAGTTGCATCAGGTACTGACATGGGTATCATACGAACGTCTTATCGGTTTAAAGACGTCTTTATTCTGGCAGTCGTTGTGGCAAATATTTTCACTAAGGTTTCTCGAACATGTATGTTGTCACCTTGGTCAAATCGGGAAATGACCTTGCCCTTTGAATCTAATTTGTTGTAACTTATGTAAAATTACTTTTTTGGAATTCAGGTAAATATATACCATATGGTTAATTGTTGTCTGTATTTGAGCATGTATCCACGAGTTGGCAGTTTTCGCGAATATAAGAGTAATATTGCCATATGAATAACCGTCAACAAATTATTTCAAACTTTTCTTTTCATATTTACTTTGAAAGACATTCTCATAAATCTAGATCTATTAGCAAACAAGCATTATTTTTTTTTAAAAATATCCTATTTTGGACCATGTCACAATATTGCCTCCAATTTTGAATCCTAGATAAATCCCTGGCTCATCATGTCATGTGGTGGATTTTATTAACTGAACCAAAGACGTATTGCTGAGTTTACAAAACTGTAGGTACAAATACAATAGATTTGTCAGGTATTAAGTGAGTGACCTTTGAGTGTCTGATACTGATGTAGACAGAGTTGTATTTCTCATAGTATGGGGCAATAGGTAGAATCTATCAAATAGTGCCGAATATGCTCGTTGAGTTGGTAGTTGGCCATGGAAAACCGTAAATAACGAACATTTTTCATTCGACAACTTCCGTCAAAACGTTCGTTCAGAAGTGGGGACCCAAATACTGCAGTCTACCCAAATCCAGACATGTCCACTTTGATTGAAACGTCCCTTCTCTCTGATGTTTTTGACCTGCATCTCTTTGTTCATCTTCCTGAGGCAAGGGAGCTAAATGCATGGCTTTAAAGGTCCAGTGTCCACCCTTGCTGAACTAGGCTGGATATTCATGGCTCTATCATAGTGCCACCAATACCTATTTTGGGTTATGTCCCTTCTGCATCCCTCCTATTGACGAATCAGGTTCCACGGGTCATATTACTTGCATTTGCTTCAAACAAAATGGCAACACCTAGTCAGTAGGGTAAAAGGGGGGACTTTGGCTCACTTTCATGTTTCTATTCGTCTCTGGCCTCTCCTAGCTTAGTCACGACCGTACAATGCAGGTATTTTGTTAAAGGATGGTTAAATCTATTTGTTTTTTTGGTAATCTAATACATTATTCATAAGGTCAAACCATGTACATGAGGTAGGGGGAATTTCGTTCAAGCTTGGGGTAAAGTTGCAAACAAGATTTATGAACGGGGGAAATTCATGCAGTGTTTGCGTTTACGGCGTCCCATATACAAAAATACGCACTGAAAAAAAATAGGATGCCAAAAAACCAACCTTCACGGGTCCCCTTACGCGTTTTTTCATTTTGAAAAAAGTTCACTTCATGCATAACTTATTGTTGTTTTGTTTCGTGTTTCTCTCGCTCCCAAAACCCATGTGATAATGTGTATCCAATGTTCGCTGGGTTCCGGAGCTAGCCAGATTTCGGCGTGAACGCGGGAAACTGAGAGGTATCCGATGACGTTTCTCTTACATGTCGTGTCCGTAATGGCATCGCTGATAGGTTTACAAAACGGAAATAGAAACGTAAGCCAATCTCTGACCGTGTTAACAGTATTTTGTCAATGTCAAGGACTATGGTCCAAATGGCATCGCCAAAACTTTGTCAAAAGAAAAATAGCTTTCAAGAAAGTTTGCTTGAAGAGCCAATTTACTCTTTCAACACTGTAGGCCGGTACACTGGCCAAGAAGCCTCGAGTCCCCAGACACCGCAGGCCAGTAGACCGGCCAAGTCGCAGTCACGTCAAAATAAAGGGTAGATCTATATAATGTTATGAACCTACCTGTCATATCATCCATTTATTAAATCTATCACATTTCACAACGTCTGAAATACGTATTCCATTTCAATTTATCATTTTTTATTGATAGATTAAATGATTCACTATTTCCAGCGATGTTATTGAAAATAAAATTCTCGGACACACACTTCGATAATGGGTCCACATCGAACATGTCAAAGAGCAAAATAAAGACGTTTCAAGGAATTTTTTTAATCTAGTATACAAAGTAATAAATAAAATCAACCAAAATATATCTATAAGTTGTCAAACTTACAGCTAAGTTATTTCAATCTTTTCGTGCGATCGCGTGTGATGTAAATCAAATGACATCTCGGCTTTTGTCGCCTTGATTTCTCGGCTCAGATACGATGTTTCCAATATGCCTGACAAACCTTTGTCACAGCTCCTAACCTAGCACGATACATCCACGAAATTCCATGTTTTTAATATAGATCGCGAGGTTTCCTGCTTGAAACGTTCAGAATAAGAAAAAACTTTCGTCAAAATCTTTCATTACACATGTGCCATTGCTGTAATTTGATTGACAGCCTTAGGTCATGTACTCTACTTTGACCAATAACCACCCTCGTAGCAGATATCGGCAAGAAAGCATGTTACAGCTACGAAAAGACTGGGCGAGTTTAGTGTAGATAAAAAAATAAACTTTCTAATACGAAGCTTCGAAAACGGACGTATTTCTTCATGTTACTGACAGCCGCTGGTATCGAGGAATTGGTGATGACAGATAATATTTACAATTATTTATAAAATACTTTTCCGATCAGGTAAACAATGAAAATAAAAATGAAATAGGTAAGTGGATTTTATGTTTGTTTATATTTGACAAAAATCGTCAAATTTTCCCTTCATTGGTCCTCAATCTGGTCGTTTGAATGTGTTAGCTTACATTTGTTTTTATTTACAACTTGCTTAAGTTGTAAATGCTTTATTTAAATAATGTGATGAACATAAATATGTATAAACAGTAGGATTAGGCCTTTCAAATGGTGTATAACATGTAGTTGCAAAGATGTTTTACTAGACTAACATTTACTTACTTAAAGATTTTAACCACACACATATTTATGCTCAGAATGGCCTAAAGTTCACCATTTCAGGTCAACATTTAACAAAATTTCTTGGGGGGGCATGACCCCAACCCCCCCTAGATAGCTTCGCGCCAATGGCGCTTGCGGCTACCTTGTCCCAGGGGACCCCATTATTTTGGAACACAACGCAAACACTGTCATGCATATCCCTTTCTTCTTTATCACTATTATAATTGTTGTTTCAAGATGTATCATATGTAATAAAGCATCACTAACCGTTAATATATACTTTTCCATATGTCATTCTGATATGCACAATCTGTTAAATTAAACTACCGATTTTGTTTCATCCGCACACTGCCTGATGTAATTATGGCAGGTAGAAGAGTGAATAAACAACATTTAGTTTGATTAATCAAGACAGAACCATATAATTACTATAACATGCATGTGCTGATTCAAGCTAAACTGTTTCAATTACTTAGAGCTCCAGATAATCAGTATATTCACATTGATGCTTCAGGTTACACACAACCAAATGTTTTCCCATAGACTTCTATAGTAACGTTTTTTGGTTTTTTTAAATAACTAAGCATTCAACAGCTATTACCTGTACGTGTGTGCACAGTTTGGCCTTAGATCAGCAATAAAAAAATAAAAAATGACTAGCTTAGCCAGCTCCTTTTCCGAGTACCAGAAGCTAAACACACCACCCCCAGTTTCGCACCAAATGTCACCTACTTGAAAATAGCTGTGGTCACATTCAGCATAAGACATCATGTTGAAAAAGACAGTACTAAATATAGAAAAACATGGTCAGTTTTAATAACTGGATGGATGTACATTTGAAAGACATAAAAATCTTACAGAATATCCTCCAATCACAGCCTGCAGATATCTCTCGATCTGCACTGAAGGCTCCCTACGAAAACCTACGAAAACCGCACTGTCCAAACTGGTTCTGATTTGGTGTAGTAGAACCTGTAAATACAATTAATTTATAAGAAATTGATAAGATCTTTCTATGAAATGTGTTTACAATTGTTGGCATTGATAATTTAAGAAAATGCAGCATGATGATATAGCATGGATTGAAGAGGGTTTAATAACTCAAAATGTGAGGATATTCAATGAATCAATAAATTGAACAAGGTTTTTCAAGTGAGACATAAGAACGTGTTGGCTTGTTTCATCGGTTTTGAGTTCTGTCTAAATACCTGACCCTAACTAAAGGGTAAATTTTCATCAGTGAAGTTGTTCACATTGACTGAGGGTGGCAGACACTCAACATGCATCCACCACGAACATGTGTTGCAATGTACCCATAGCACAGTCTCGGCCTTTCCACTTCGGCGCCGACATGTGCAAGACTGGTGTTTTCCCTTTCCCATTTTTTTTCTTTATTCTGCTTTTCTCTTTCTTTCCAATTTCCTGTTTTCTATTTCTAAACGTTTCTTTTCCTTTGATTCTTCTTCTTGCTGTTTAGATTCAATAACCTCATCACTAGTAAGTACTCTGCATGTCGTTATCAACTTTTTGTTCAGTTTCTTTGCTTTGTGGCTAACAACAGGGGGCAGAAACATTTCATCCATTTCAGTGCTCCATGCGGCCTCCAGAACATGAATTACTACCAAAACCATAGCATCCTCTGGTACCAGGTCTTCAAGGACACTGAGGGCGATGTCAAGGACATCTTGTGTTGGATCTTCAGTGGCAATAGGAAAATCTGCTGTTATTTCCTGAGATGGTTTTATCAGCAGTCATTGCTGGAGCATGTTCATCATTCTTTACTTCAGCTGGCTTGAAAGCTGTGGATGATAAAAATGCCTCGGGTGGAATGGCATCTGGAGAGAATGGATAGATACTGCAGGCCGTGAATCCACTTTCGATATAAATCCTTGTCACTGCCAAATCAAACACCTATTTAAAGATGGACGGCCATGTCCTCTTTGTGATGTTTTCATGAGACACCATGATCTAGAGGCTAGAGAAAGTGTGTTGTGTGAGGGGGATGAGCCAGTAATGTAATCCCTTCTCTGGAGGCAGCTTGCAGAAGCTCCAGCATCTCGTGGGAACGGTGGCTGTCTAGGAGGAGGATCTGGGGACAATGTTGTCCAGTGTTTTAGAGCTACAGATAAACAGCATATTTGCGTAAAATTACTAAAATACCCCCTGAAACAATAAAAACTCAATTACTTTTAATTACCTTGAGTTCAGAAATGCATGCACACTTTTGAAGCTTTTTCAGCATGCGTACAAAGGAGCTAATTTCCGAAAAAGTATCACAAGCTAATTTACTTTCCGAGTCAAAGCCTATATATATTTAGAGCAATTATATACATCCAAAAGAATATTTCTTTTCTTTTTTTAAATCTTAAGATGTTCACTAATTATGGGAAAAACCCAATAGAGTGATGAATAGACAAAGGAAAAAATACTGGTTACCCAATGAAAAATACAAGAACCCAATTAAAATAGAAACCCTAGAGTAGCTATTCTTGGCCAAGGACGTCCTCCATCCAGGCTTTGTTTTGGTATGTCCAAAGTGCCCACACGTTTAGGGCCTTCATGTTCTTAGGCATGATTGACTTATTATATTTATTCATTTTCACGTTTAATCAAGTCTTACTTTTCATAAGTAGATCCATCTTCCCGAGGCAAGAGAGTTAACTGACTTTGAAAGTCCAGTTTCCACCCTTGCCGAACTAGGCTGGAATTACTGGGCTCGATCGTAGCGCCACCAGTGGCTATTACGAGTTATGTCCTTTCTATGACTCTCCTATTGACCAATCAGATTCAACCTCTCGTATCACTTGCATTTGTTTCAAACATAACGGTGGCGCCCAGTCAAGACGATCTGATCGATAATCAAGATCTATATTGTGATAAAATGAGTCTTACATCGCGAAAGTGCATCAAATCACGTGAGCACCTTGATTAAAAACATGAACAGATTTAGAAAATATCTGTTGACAACGAGTTAGCGGTGCACGTTTTTTTGCAAATCCTGCAGTCGACCGAAATCTGCATGACACTCTACGAACCGGATTTCGATTTTGGTGCGCGATTTTGATTGGACTATGCATAGACTCGTTAGTCCAGCCAAAATGTAACTCCATAATACCAGCCTAGTTCGGCAAGGGTGGAAACTGGACTTTTATAGTCAGTTAACTCACTTGCCTCGGGACGATGAAGTAGATCTAGGCTATTTCTTTCTGCTTTTCATTATATTGAAAAGTCCATTTTCATTCCTATTAAAGTATATGCCACGAAAAATATAATGGGGTAATTTCGTCCATCTTTATTAGCTTTTTTGTCTGTTACATTTGACTTGAACAATAAGGAATTCATGCATAAATATGTTCTAAAAGTTAAAATCTGTAATATTTGAATGTTTACATATATGATTTCACTCAGTTTATACAGTAATGCGCACCTTTTCCTGTATATAGCAACCTGTCAAACTCTCCTTTCTTCACCCTTGATGTCATTTCATCCGACCAATTGAATTGCTTGTAACATAGCATCTAAAAATATGTTGTGATGTGTAAGGGAACTACTACATCTATTAATAGACATCAACTCGACTCGATAGTGGATATTTTTGTCAGTTCTGTTGTTGACAGTTTTGTGGAAAAAAAGGTATTTCCATGACTAGACAAATTTCCCCCTCACCGCGAAACTTCCCCTGTTTTTTCTCAGAATTTCTCATCAGCTTACAGAATTAATACCCACATATATTTTACTTAAAATGAAGCTGAGTGTCAGTACTGAATGCAAATGACAATTCACGTGACACAATTTCCATGCAATCAGTCCAAAGCACCACACCTTATTCATATGATTCCCATCAAAAGATAAACGATATGTTAAAATTGATGACACAGCTGTCAGTTTAATGGAAACTTCTGTGTCTAGTCTATGACTAATTATTCCCCCTTGTATTTATTGTTCCAGACAAGGCTGGCCCAGACTGCTGCAGCTGCAGCCCCACAACTCAGCCCCAAGATAAAGAAGTTTCAAATCTACAGATGGGTAAGGATCACATGACGTATTGACTCCAGAGAAATCATGTTCACTTTATTGACGAGTATTTCACCTCTCCTTACCCATGCTCATCCTTCAAATTAATGTATCACTGAATAAAGGTGATTTCGTGTACATATGGTATTCTGGGTTAAGATGATGATTCAATCTTCGTATGAAAAAGACTGTAGATGCTTAAAAACTACCAGTTGTCAGCAATAGAAACAAACATGTTTATTCCACTAGTCCTTATAATGGTAATATAAAGCAAAACCCTTAAAAATGACAAATATCTAATAGTCCTTATCAGTGTCTGCTCTGGCCTAAATTTTCTTTGGGTCACTTGGACCCCTTCATCATAAAATAAGGGGTCCCAAACAAAAATGGAGGGGTCTAATTTATAGCATTATAACATAACATTCACAACAGAACACAGTGGTTGTGAAAAATAAGAAATCTTTTCGCAACTGCAAAATATCAACAAACAGGCAGAGTGAGAGAAAGGTTCACATCAGGGCACATCCTGCTCTCATAACCAAGAGGTTTACATTAAGGGACAAACAATTTCTTAAAAGGGACATTTGATATTAATGAATATTATAACACAAAATTATCCATGTTAATATCTAACTTCGTATATGAAAAGGCAGTACACGGGTCAGCCATTGGTAAGGGGTCATTGTGACAGACATTTGTGAATGTTTTTACCGAGATCTACCAATGATTTGAAGTTTTGGATTCAGTTAAGTTCAATGGCTGTTCTGATGCTACTGTACTGAGTATTGAGTTCATGTTGTAACTGTGACAATGATCAATGAGTCATAAAATATAATTGGCATATCAAACGTTTTTTTAGTAAGAGTATGTTCAGGATCCAGCATTTCCTTGATAAATCTAGTCAACATGTTTCAGGTGCTATAAATGTTTAAACATGTCAGTTACACCAATAACGGTCCTGGCAAAATGTGTTTTGCAATTCTTAATATGACTCACAAGATATTGAATTATTATCAGCTTGATAAGTCTGTTGTAGAATAACTAAATATTCAGAGTCCGCTAAATAAAAACAATGCTTACATCATTGTACATTCAAGTGTTCGCATTCATTCTTTATCATATACAGTATCGCGGTATTGATAAATCTCGTAATCCACACAACCTGTCGACTGTTTACTTATGCAAATCTAAGCACGATATATTTCATCGCATGATCGAATACAGGACTCGTTGCGGTATGTCACGGCTACTTGTACACACGTTAACTTTTTTATGACAGTTCCTGGGATGTTTTTGAAGTGGAATTACCCCTTCCTCCATTCAAAATTGATTAGAAAAAGAACCCATTTGTTCAAACGAAGTCCCTTGACCAAACCTTGGTCGTATGCAAAATTCAAAACAGGAAGTGATATACCATATAATCCACACAGCCTTACTTACTGCGGTAAGATTCACCAATGACAGGTACTTTGTTTACCGAACTCGGTAAAGAAAATCAGCATCAATCAATCCAATGAACAACAAACATTTTGTGAATCACATATTTAATAAGTTTGTAAGCGTGCCCCACTACGATCCATTATAAATTAACTACCACGATAACATAGCGTATCATCCTACACGGTCGCTCGATTTCGCGGGTCACTATTACCACGTTCTGAAGTATACCCTGGCTATTTTTAGTTTGACACAAGGTCAGGATATTTTCGACCAATCAGCAAGCTAAATTAATTATGACTATATCCGACTTGCTTAATATGTGGCACCTGATTGGCTGAAGCAAAGCTACGGACCATACCGAAAATTAATACATGCAAAACCGACAATAGATATAGGTCAAGAAACCGGTTTGGGTATTTGTCATAAAAAGGGAGAGAATAATGAAACTGGTTTGGTTTAGCAAACGGAAGTGTTAATCAACATGCTTCGCTGTCTTGTTTGGCAACAAATACCTTTACGCAAAGACATACGTCTTTGATTTACGATAACAGTGTCAATTCAATATGAAATTAATATAGCCCCAGTCACTGCGTCCACGAGACCCACACATGTTACGCAGGTGCGTTCAAACTTATTTTTGTGCGTCCAAGACGCAAAAACGCGCTCTTCAGCCAACACTGGTCCTTATGATACTTGACTTTTAGGCATTTGTCAAGGACTATAGGACTAGTGCTAATTTCTACCGCTGGTTGTCAGAAATAGGAAAATATACAAGCAATGAGATCTATGCCATTCAGCAGTTATTTTGAACCCTAGTTATGGCCTTTACTCAGCTAATTTCGGCAGATAAACAATCAGTAAACATGTCCTATGATCAATCGATGCACCACTAGTACATATCATTCTTCAGTTTGGGGTGTTGAAGCTTTCAAGTGACCTTCATTGAAGGTCAAGGCCATAGTAATGGTCCTTTGTAAAGTATTTCTGCTTCTTCATGTACTAACCCAACTCCATGTATTGGATGAACATGTTTATAAGATCTAGCACCCAGTGGTGGGTCCTCCCATTAGGGATTTCTTCGGTTCTGTGGCTATTTAGCTGAACTACAAGTCAAATCAACATGATCAAGGCTCATAGGCTTGTTCATCAACCACTGACATCTATCTCATCTCAGGCTGAGGATTTTAGGCATTATGTGGACTTCTCCTGATGTCTCCTGTTTCGATGGATTGTCAAAGGAGAAATACAATGTCAGTCTGCCACTCTTTTGGGTCATTTTCACGGCCCAGAATAGAGTTCAGTTCCTCTGGACAGGTGGCAGAAGAAACATCCCTTAGTGTTTCAAGCACTTTGTTGAGACATGTCTGTTACTTGTCAGATGCTGTTGAGTCTCCTAATGTTGGAGGGGGACATCAGCAGGTTAGATCAGCTCTAGTTGCGACCTCTGTAGATTTTCTTTTTCAACCTTGGATAGACTGAAATCAGCCTGATCTTCTGTGTCACTCAACTGATCTTTGCATCCTGTTCACAGTGGTGGACATCAGAATCGAATGTCCCATATGGACTCTCTTTAACAGAAATAAACATAATATAAAAAGACTCAGAGGGTTGGTTGGTGAGATAATTGCATACTGTCGCAGGGTTTTACGCGACTCACAAATGTGCATCCAGTATGCACAAACGTTTAGATTGGACTAAAAAAAATATACCGCGTCCCGAGCAGTGTTTGAAATAATTTTAAAACCCAACAAGACAGTTGGGCAGGAGACCAACAAGTGATGCCTGCCCATCTTCAAAGTTACCTGCCTGCATTCAGACATGATAAATATTGAAAAATAGCAGAAAATAAGAGACAAATAGCGTCTAACAATCCAAACAACTACTTGAGAATCCACAAGTGTTATAATAACACTAAATACATAAGAAGTCTTAAAATTATCTACCAGACTGTTGGGCAGGTAGAGGAAAAATCATGCAGGACGACAGAAAAGTTACCAGCCGCTGGCAGGCAGTTATACTGAACCAAGTTAAAAACTTCACAATCCTAAAATTTTAACATTTTGACCAGTTATCATTGTGGGCCCTAATTGTGTATTTCAACAGTAATGGCCACATATTGTCTTCAGATAACACCCGTTTTTGTGCAGGTGAATCGATCAAAATCATGTGCACAGCACTATAGTGGCAAAAGTGTTTTTTCACGTGCAACTGGTCACGTGGCCATAATATCGGCACGTATTTTCAGCCATACTTGTTAGTAGTCATTAAAAAAAAACACACACAAGAAAACAAAAGTCTTTACGGACATTTGTCATACCACGCCTTTCAAATGTGCAACGTGAACGTGCCATCGGCATGTTGCAGACGGGAACGTCTGTAGCTGAAGTCGCAAGGACGATGGGTTGTAGTCGACGGACTATTTATGATTTACAGATGCTTCTACAGCAAACGGGTACCACCGCTGATCGCCCTCGGCCAGGTCGACCACGTGTGACGTCACATGCACATTACGTCACCTCCGTTACCGATTTTTGACGGCTACATCAACCAGAAATGAACTGTTTGGGGGTAGACTGAGTGCGCAAATTGTTTGAAAGCGTCTGAGAACTGCTCACCTTCAAGCACGACGGCCATACTGCGGGCCGATTCTGACTCAATTACACAGACATCAACGTCAATTGTGGGCACAGCGACACTGACGATAGACTCAGAGGAATTGGAGTCAAGTCGTCTTCAGTGATGAATCCCGATTTAATCTTCAATTTGCTGATGGTAGGGCGAGGGTGTGGAGGCGCCGTCATGAACGTTACGCCCAGTGTTGTGTACAGGAAGTTGACAGATTACGAGGCGGAAGTGTCATGGTGTGGGGTGCTTTCTGTGGCAATGCACGTTCCAGGCTTCTTGTCATCCATGGCAACCTCAACGCTGCTGCTCACCACGACCAGGTACTAGCACCAGAACTTCTGCGTTTTATGGCAGCACATGGACCCGGTTTGATCTTCCAACACGACAATGCCAGACCCCACACAGCAATTTTGACAAGGAATTTCCTTCAGAATGCGGGAGTCAACGTCATGGACTGGCCGTCAAGGTCTCCCGACCTCAATCCCATCGAACACGTCTGGGATGCTCTTGGCAGAAGTCTGCGCACTCTCCAGAACCAAACACAGAATTTGCAAGATCTTGGCACCATTTTGCAGCAACAATGGCGTCGTCTTCCCAATCAAGTGTTCACAAGCATCACAAGGTCCATGCGGAGGCGTTGTGTGGCAGTTGTCAACGCACATGGTGGCCATACACGCTACTGAACTTGTGTGCCATCAGATTCTCGTGCTTGGGACTTATGATTTAAACTGTTTATGTTATTACCGAATACCATAGGTGCTTGGATAAAATATGGTTATCACCGTTAATTAAAGACCCTTCTTTGGACATTAATGATTAAAAATTACCTTCTCTGATACGTTTGTCCGTTGTATATCATATGTGGGATTACTTTTAAAAATGTGAAGTTTTTAATTTGACTCAGTATATTTCAGACACTGATCCCTGAGTAGTGGTTAGACGATACACCGATGCTTCAATGGGTCATGTTTTTCAACTTCTTGTTACAAGTATCGATCACAGTGGCACACTAAGCAAAAAATATCGATACATACTAAATGTTTTCTGTAATAACTGTTACACCAAACACTAATTAGTAGCGAAAATTAGATGTGAAAATGTAAATATTTCCTCCATTATGCCAAACTTGGCACTGCCAATTGTAAATCGTCAGTGTGCCAGTTATTTGGCCACCCTGTCTGTGATAAAGACGGCTTACGCACCACAAAATAGCACCTGCAAGTACAGTAATATGTCCCTGATGATATTCCTTGTACTCCAGCGCATCATGAGCAGTTGTCAGTGACTTATTTCATCCATCAATCATGACCCGTCAACAAGTTCATTGATTTATTCCAAGCTCTAAAGTAATGATCAAAATGTACAGTAAGCAACACCATTTCCTTACTTTCAGGCATGTGAAATATCCGCGGAACTGCGGCAAATCGCGTTGTTTAAAGCAGTAGTCCTCGGAAAAAATCATCTTCCTCGTAAAAATATAATCAAAGATTTTTAAAAAAATACTCCGAAAAATATGATCGAAAACCGGACAACCGTCGCGGATGGTCCTGTTTTCGATCAGAGCTTTCGGCAGCATAGGTATTCGGACATCATACGTTTTCTATCACGAATACTTGAACTATAATGTGAGTTGTGGCGTCACACAGAAATTGTAAGTAACTTTACAGGACCCTTTAAATTAAAGTTTTGTAAGTCAAGGTAAAACCAAGCTGCCATAACAGGATAGTAATAATTTCACACGAATTTGAATATCCACACCCAACATCCCCTCAACACCCAACAAATATTTGTTCAAAATGTAATGGTATGTGAAGATTAACTGCAAGTTACTAAGACATGATCAGTCAGTGAAGTGTATCTGGCGTGCCTTAAGTTAATTAGACAAGTCACACACTGCTTTTGTGTTGCAGGACCCTGACAAGACTGGTGACAAACCCCGTGTTCAGACCTATGAAGTGGACTTGAATCAGTAAGTACAACATCTCAGTGTACTTGTTTGTACAGTCCATGAAGAGGGGCACAGGTGGCCCAGTCGTCTAAGGTGCTGCAATTGGCTGTGCAGAGTTGGGTCCCTTGGGCACGCCAGAAACCTCTGATTGTGGGTTCGAATCCCGGTTCGCCCTGATTATGTTTCTATGTTTGTCAGCACCATACCCGTGTTCAAGGGTTTCACCAAAGTGGTAAACGTCTGAGATCTGCATCACTTCGGGCTTCCCTCCCACATTAAGCTGTCACGCCTAGATGTAACTGGAATACTGTTAAAAGCGGCGTTAAACCCAACTCACTCAGTCCATGAAGTGGTGTGTTGTTCATCCTCACATTTAATCTTCTCTGAATCAGGTAAAAGAATTAACCTTCATCATAATGATAGGACTCAGATTGTACATGATGTAAAATTTAATACTACGTGGGGAAACTTCAGATTGTGTAAAAAAAACTTTGTTGAACTGATGAATTTTATACTTTCAAATTTTTTAAAATCTCCTCAAAGAAAGCATTGTGGTCAAGGACTGAACATTTATGATTTTGGAAAATTGTTTCAGACATATATAGAGATCACAGTGATCCAGCTGGGGCTTTGTGGTGGTCGTAATCATGATGAGAAATTTCCACTCACTTCTACTAGTTCTAGGCATCATCATGTTGTGCTGCATGTTGTAATATGTGACATGGATGTTTGTTACTATTCATATATATTGTATCAATATGAGGTTTATGTTGTCATAACAGACAGAATAATTAAGACACTCATATCAGACACTTTACTTGATGGTTTAAAATTTCACTTCATATACATTCAGATCATTTTGAATATATCTAGTGAGCTGCAGTGTTGTATTTTTGTCATTTCTCTTCAGTGAACTGCCATTTGAAATGTAGGAGATACCGAGTTTGAGTTTGCTCATAGTGTATGTAAATGTCAAGATAGTTTGACCTATTTGTTTTACTCTATTGTAACAAAGGCTGGATCAAGGTATATATTCACAAACAGGGTAAAGTTGAAAGTATTCTAACATGTTCTCTGGAATCTGGAATTGGAGGATATGCATGTCCACAGTTGTCTTAACCATTTTTCATTTCATGACATTAGCATGAAAACAATGTTTGAAATGTATTCTTTTTCTTTGTAATCATAGTTGTTGTCTGTTTACAGATGTGGTCCAATGGTTCTTGATGCTTTAATTAAGATAAAGAATGAGATGGATCCAACCTTGACATTTAGAAGATCCTGTAGAGAAGGTATCTGTGGGTCATGTGCTATGAACATTGAAGGCACAAACACCCTCGCATGCATAATGTAAGTGCTTCTGCTTAACATGTTCTTGTAGTGGAGTCTTTTTGGTATTGTTGGCAGTCCCATGTAAGTGGGTATGTGTTATGGTTTTGTCTGAATTTGACAGCCAGCGCTGCACAGGTCTATCCTTTCAGGTATATCTCCTTTATAGCCTTTAGAAATGTTTATAACACATTGACAGTCATGTCACGGGTCAAGGCCACCCCCAATGTCATAAAAGTTTAAACAATAACTAAAGAAGCATAACTCAAGAAGCATTTACTGAATAAGGAAGAGAATTTATGGATGTCAACTTCTTTATTATTAGGACCACAACGTTTCGGAGTACATGCTAACTCCTTCATCATTTACTGAATGTCAATGAAAATTGGTAGATGTCATCCGTTAGGTTCCATCTTCCCGAGGCAAGAGAGTTAACTGACTTTAAAAGTCCAGTTTCCACCCTTGCCGAACTAGGCTGGAATTACTGGGCTCGATTGTTGCGCCACCAGTGGCTATTACCAATTATGTCCCTTCTAAGCCTCTCCTATGGACCAATCAGATTCCACCTCTCGTATCACTTGCGTTTGCTTCACACAAAATGGTGGCGCCCAGTCAGGACGATCTGATCAATAATCAAGATCTATATTGCGATAAAACGGGTCTTACATGGCGAAATGCATCAAATCACGTGAGCACCTTGATTAAAAACATGAAAGGATTTGGAAAATATCTGCTGACAACAAATTGGCGATGCACATGCTTTGCAAACCCTGCAATCGATCGAAATCTGCATGACAGTTTACGAACCGGATTTTGATTTCGGTGCGTGATTTTGATTGGACTATGCATAGACTCGTTAGTCCAGCTAAAATGTAACTCCATAATACCAGCCTAGTTGGGCAATGTAAATGTTTTACTGCCTAAATCAAGTAAGTTTTCCTGTAGGTCAACAGGACTTGGTACATGTCATATCAAATGGTCGGTCCCCTATATGCTGGATAGCCCTTGGGACAGTTCTTGACATACTTGAAGGTTAAATTCACTCTCAAGGTAATTTATTATGGTGTCAAAACCGAAGATGTTTTCTCTGTAATACTAATAGGATTAATTTGGCACATATCATCCTCCAGGTGGGGCTTTGGGTATGTGTGTCACCTGATGTGGTAAATTCAAAATATTTTTTATCTTATGCTGCATTACTATCTAAATGCTTCTGGGACGTGTCGCAGCGGATCTCTTCAAATTTGTGTTACAATTGTTTGTCTGCAATTCTCAGCTACATATGTATAACATTTTCTTCTTTTTTTAAATACTAGTAGCTTTGGCATTATATAGAGTTTGAGTGTATCAATATTTGTATACACTTTCAACTCGTAAAAATATCTGCCCATAGAATATTGTTTAATTCCATGGCAATCTTCCAACTCCCTCTCATCAACAATTCTCTATTTTGCGTAACTTATGCTTCCGTTGTTTGGCATGCACACAGACATACAAAAGGATGACAGACTCGTCAAGGCCAACTACCCTTAGGTACAAGATACCAGATTTGCGCTCATAGAAACGATCAAGGCACGACCAAAATCAGAGCAAAGCTCTTTGTTTCTTTGATCTTTTGTATCAACCTAGGAAGTAGTACAGGTGGAGGTACATTTACGCTCTTAGCCCTTCCCAGGGGATGCCAAATGCATCTACCGCTGCAGGCTTCTGCCATGCCCTTTGCCACAAATGGAATCCTCGTCGGGGATGTCCGCAGGACCCTCAAGGCCTATATCAGCAGAACTATGGGTATCCGTAAGGATAACCAACTATTTTGCTGTTACGGTGGTAGGAAGGCTGGCTCACCTGCGAGCAAACAATCTATCTCGAGGTGGATAGTTTCAACCATTTGTACAGCGTATACGCTTACAGGTAGGGACCCCCCTACCAGGTTGAAGGCTCATTCGGTTAGAGCAGTGGCTACGTCACAAGCGTACATCGCGGCTCTGCCCATTAAGGAGATCTGCTATTTGGAGCCAGCCGAGAACGTTCATCAAACATTACCAACTCGACAAACACTCAAGCGAGAGTGCTCGGTTTGGTCAGTCAGTTCTCCGAACTTGGCAAAGTTCTAATCTCTAGCCGATTGAGCATTCGAGATTTTAGACAGTCCACCGGTTATACTGCTCAGTAATGGTCCGGATTTTATCTTCTGCGGTCGATAAATAACAGTCCTTACTACTCGATAATACTCGTATTTTGCACATGCACTCCTTCGATCCTCGGGGACCCTCTGGCCTAGCTCAGCACGGGTTATAGTCTCTCGTGATCTACGCCCCTATATCACTTGTTCAAAAATGTGTGGGGTGGGTGGGGGGTGTTTCGAGTTCTCAACTTATGACAAGCCGCAAAAACAGGCTTTATCATTATATATGGTCAACCATGCCCTGTCTCTAGCCCCCGCCTTTCGACGGTGGTGCCTCACGATAAGGTTGGTTCCATTTATTGAACTCTATATTTTATTCTGTTGAATAATCAAATACGATTTATTTATTTACGCCTGTTGCTGACGGATGCCACTTTCTAGATTATCTTTGGGAGTCTGTCTTGAAGCAATAAGTGCCCCAAGGAGGATTTAAACTGAAAGAGAAATTTTACAAACCTGTAGAGGTTATGAATTCTCTGATGAAATCCTCCTTGGGGCAAGGCCACCCACCTCCCCACATTCCGTCAGCATTTGACATATGGAAAGTGATTTGGGTGGAGTTGCTCCCCCTGGCGTGAGGCGCCGTGGGGGGTGAGGCCCCGTAAGGGTGGTCGTATATCATACAAAAACGAATTTTTTTGTGTGGTAACATTTTTTATTAAGGAAAATGGTTACAACTATGTCATGTAGATTTTCTTGAGCAAGGAAAATACAATAAGTGCCCCAAGGAGGATTTCATTAGAGAATTCATAACCTCTACAGGTTTGTAAAAAATTTAAACCTTTTGTAAGGCTAAAAATCTCGGCGATTGTGGGGGTTGAAGATGAGGATGAACTCCACTTGTGCCTGGTACGCGCACTTCAAGTTTTCAGCAGCAGCTCCAAGACTAGGCGTGGCTCGCAGAAACAGTTATCCATTCTGGTATCCCATACGTCCAGGACCAAAGTTAGTCGCAATACCATATCTCTATGGTTACATGCAGTCATCCTGCAGACTTACAAGATCGCTAAACTTGATCAGCCCAAAGCAAAGAACCCTCACGAGATCAATTGTTCTATTAGAGCAATCATGGAGGGATGTCTTTGGAGGTCTGACACAGTTTTCGCAAGTTATTATCTTCTCAATGTGGCTCTTGAAGACGTTGAAGGCGTTCGCAGTTTGGGCCCTCTGGTAGTAGCCCAGCAGGTAACCAACCCCTGACGCATGTAGTGAACTCTTCTTTTCCCTTCCCGCGCAGCACTCTCTACAACGGGCCCAGTGAGAAGCTTTTTTTCAGTTTTGGCTCGGTAACACAGTATGTAAAGATTTTAGCTCATACTATCTTTCGTTCATACAAGTTTGTGTACAACTACAAGGACTTATCCTAAATTCTCATGTTTGTTCTGTAAATCAGATTGAACCAGCCCCTGGCACTGCATGGCACTGTCTCTTTTTTTGTAAGGCAAGCAGTAAGTGCATAAAGGAGTAATGCGGGATAAGTATATAAATATAAAAAATATCAACACTCTTGATACAATTTGGTATACCTGTGTTGTCTGTAAATGTTTACATTTTAGACTGATGGCATGATTTTGTTTGGATGTTCATTACTATATGGGTGTTTAAATGTGTTCAATGCATCAAAATTGGAATTTCTATATGACCACCATATCATTCAAAGATCTTGTTCACTAAAACTGGTGATGGGTAATAGAGACGCTGAGTGAACACTTATTGGTTGGGAATCAAATGTGGCTGCCAGCGATGATATTGGTAAATACAAAACATCTATCTTAAACAAAAAAATTCCTCAGAAATGACACTCGTTCCAAGCAATGATGACATCTGAATTTGATCCAACCCATGGTAGCCATATTGGAAAAGCTATTTATTACTAAGCTTATGTAAATACATTTGATATATAATATGTTGTAATTATTGGAGCTCAACATATGCATGTTCCATGTTTTGGTTTGCGATACCGTATTCCACGTAATAAGCGCCCACGGCAACATTTGCTAAGATATTGGCTAGTGAACAATCCCAATTAGCACCCCTTCCGATTGATCAATATACAGAAGACTTATTTATTCGCGTATAATACACACTCATGTGTTATATGCACCCTTAATTCTGGGAAAATATATCTGTCGTACATAAACATTTCAGGCTGTCAGCATAAACCACAAAATTTATTCTTTCAACTCTGTTTTTTTCACCAAAATAATATTCTAATAAGAGCCCCCTATTTCTAATTTTGAGAGCTCCCTGGGCACTTATTACGTCAAATACGGTATTTGATGAATAGAAATATTGAAGTTGTAACCTTGTTTTCACAATGCTTCAGAAGTTTTAAATTCTCTGATAAAAATGCATATTTGGCTCTATTTACCATGTTAACCTGTCTCTCCTTGTGATGTCATACTTTGTTCAAATTTTCACAATTATAGCGTTAGGTTTTACTGAGGTATTAATTTAGAAACTATTTTAATATCAATTGTTGACATTTTTAGTTGAATGGCATGGCACAGTATGCTTGATTGTAGGAAGTGTTTGCTGACTTATTATTAATCTGATATGCAGATAATCCGATGACATCATGTAGTAGGATGTTTACTTTGCTCAAGACGATTCTGTTCATGCTTGTCAACATGGTCATTGTTATTAATTGGACTTTCTATTTTCCAGTAAGACCGACACAAACCTGAGTAAAACCTGCAAGATATATCCCCTGCCACACATGTATGTTATCAAGGATCTCGTCCCTGTAAGTTTATCATCCTGCTACTATTCATAACAAATTGAATTGTTTGTATAACAGATATGTATTTCATCATCTGTGGTCAGGTTTGATGTGACTCATATATACTGGCCGTCAATATGCTGGCATTTATGTTATATCTTTGTTTGTGTTTATGTTTACTACTTAGACTATTGTTCTGATGGTTAACAAAACAGTTTCAAAGCATAATTATTGTCAGATACTATAGACAGGTGAAGCAGGGGCTGAATCATCATTTACTGCCCTGCTGGGGGGACAGCCTTAACCAGCAACATGATCCATCTGCTAACAAAACATCACCTGTAATATGCCTTGCTCTGGTTACATTTGGGTTTACGCCATGATATACATGTACCTGGAATACCGGTACTTTTCAAAGCGGCGCTAAAACCCAACCCAGGGTGTTTATAGGTGGAAGACTATATGTCACTGCTTGTAACTTTTATTTGATTGTGTTAATGTTCCTGAAGGTTGATAAGCTTATTTATGTATGTAGGACATGAGCAACTTCTATGCCCAGTATCGCTCCATTGAACCGTACCTTCAGAAGAAGAATGAGACAGAGGCAGATGTGGGAAAGGAGCAGCATCTTCAGAGTGTGGCTGACCGGGCTAAGCTGGTGAGTTGCTTGTGGCAGGAGTAGGGTGTTCCATGCAGCAAAAAGTAAACCTTGTTTTGCAGGAGCAATGAAACTTTTAGTAAGAGTTCTTAACTTCTTACTCTTAATGACTGTTGTTACATTTACCTGGCTTCCGGACTGGTATGTATAGGATAAAACATGCTTCCGAGGTTTTGGTTAAAAATGTAAAACTGTGAGCGAGGGAAATGCCCAAGGGCTGAAGGCTCTAAACATCGACATACAATGTAAAACCTAGGAATTACAATTGAAATGTATTCATCAGGTCCTGGGCATTCCACTGGAACGTCCCGGGCATTGTTGATATTGCCTGCCTTGGAAGTTTACCAATGTTTTTGAAGAACTTTCTGTTACTGTAGTGTGACATCATCAGAGGTTTATAATTGTAAATAGTTTAACTTTTATTTAGTTTGGTAATTCCTCTTTTTCGCCGATAGCACTTTCATTTGCGTATGCTGTTGGTCATGAAGATGGTGGCATGTGTTCCAGGATGGACTGTATGAGTGTATACTGTGTGCGTGCTGCTCCACCTCCTGCCCCAGCTACTGGTGGAACTCTGACAAGTACCTGGGACCTGCTGTCCTCATGCAGGCTTACAGGTATGTCATACACCAATCTCAGGACACCAGGGCAAAGATGGCAACTAGGTGCAACGCTCAAATAAAGCTCAAACCAACCCATATCAATCTAAAGAAATTGGTAGTTGTTGATCATATGCAAATGCATGTTGTGCGATCTTAAACATTGTTTTTGATGAATTCAGCAGTTCAGTTCAGAAATATTAATATATATTTATATATAGGAATTGAGTAACATAAGTATTTTTTGGTATAAAACGTAAAACCTTAAAATTTTTAAACCTTTAAAATTTCTGACATTAGGCCTTCATGAATATTAGGATTGAGATTGATATTAGGTATAGTTATGCAGCAGAGTGAGAAAAGTGTTGCAAACAGTGGTGAGTATTGAGTTGGAGTATCAAACATATGACCTCAGGATAGAAACAAACCAAATAATGTAACTTAGAGCAGTGTTGGGTATCACTGAACAACTGACTATTACCGAACAAACTTTATGTTTGTTATCTTATCCTGCATTACTACCGTAATGCCTCCACTGCTGTTTTTTACTTATGAAACGGAGCTGTGAGACCGACTTGTTACATGGCTTCTTTCCTCCCCCAGCTACCACCGGACCGGATCACATCACTGCTAGTCCTCGGACTGAACAGACGTTATGGCACTTCCCCACTTCAATGATTATAGGACTATCATTCGGACTCTTCAACGAGCTCAGTTGGCTAGTCCTTCGCAGTCCTTGGAGTCAGACACGTACTTGGGACTTAACCAAGTGCCGGATTGGGTGAAGACCGGTTGGTCTCAGTCACTCCCTCTTGGGTTCTGAAAGTTGATAAAAGGGAATCAATCTGGTCTTCCCCTACATCCATTCCACCAGATCCCATGCTCACAGATTCAATATTGGCGTTGGATGATGATTTCTCCCAACTGTCCCTCACTCTGGCCTGTAAGGCGCCTCATTACAGGAGGATAGATTTTCCTGTCCATGTGTTCGAAGCCGCAGATAATATGCATACTCTGGACGATCATTTACATTGGATGGCAGGCTCTTCAAGGCCGACTCGGTTTACCTTTGTTGAGACTGAAATTTGGCGGGCACTCACAAGCCATATCTGTCTTGGCCTTATCTGGGAAGGCATTGATCAGGATCTTTCCGAAGATAATCCTAATCAAGTTGATCATCATCATTCTTTTCAACAACGTCAAATAGACCACTGACATAATCATCTCTGGGCGACCATGGCGGAGATTACCACTACCAGGCGCCTAGGTTATCTCGCCTTTTCAAACTGGAATTCCGAGTTTAAAAGGCAACTTCTTCTTGAGCATCGGAGTGCATGTTCGTTATTCAATGAGGCAATCTCTGAAACCCATGCACGTGTCTCCAGCTTGAAACAGCACTTAAAGCTTTGGAGCACGTCTACAATCAGTCAATTATCAGCCTTGGCGCAGGCTTCCCCTCAAGCTCTTTCTTCTTCCTTTCATGGCAAAGGTCAGGACCATACAAAGCCAGCTATCAACCCTGCCGTTGCCAACACAAGCCCAGGGGTGGTGACCACAGAGGCAGGTGCTGATGCCCTGGCGCCTGATGCCTTGGATCTCCCACCCTGAGTCGTCCCAGTCAAAGACATACCTGTAGGTGGGAGATTGGGCAGGTTTTGTACCAATTTGTCAATTCTTCAAGATCCATTTGTCACCAACATCCTTCGTCAGGGGTACCGGTACTCTCCATAAGCTTCTTACCCTATATAGGACTGACCCCCTCGTCAGGCTCAGCTCTTGCTCCAGATCATTTATCTTCTGGTGCTCAATCAGGCGGTCGAGATTGTTCAGGATTCTATTCGGCAGTGTTCCTGGTGTCCGAGAAAGACTCTTCAGAATTTCGGATAATAATCTCGCTATCTTCAACAAGCATTACCTGGAACATCCTCCCTACTTTCGTTTAACTACAGATAAGAATCAATGCCAGTGATTCCCTGATCAGTCTCGACCTCCAGGATGCTTGTCTTCATGTGTCCATCCACCCCAGTTGCAGGAAGTTCCTCATGTTATTTTTCCAGGGTATCCACTACCAGTGGGCATTTCCACAGCCCCATTGTTATTTCCCTGGATTACCCAGCCAATTACACCTGAGGAACATCGACGACTGCTTACTGAATCATCAGGACATGGAAACCCTTTACTTCACAGGGATTTCACGCGTCGTCTAACCGCACAACTTGGATGGATCATCAATAAGCCTTAGTGAGAACTCACTCCATCCTTCAAGCTCCAGTTCCTAAGGGGCCTGTTACGCACGTACATTGATCTCCTCCTGGTACCAGATGACAGGTGGCACAAAATACAGCATCATCTGCTTCCTGCCCTTCACCAAGCTCACACTCTGTGTCAGTGGCGGGTATTAATGGGCCTTCTTGTGCCAGCTCAGGATCTGACAGCTAGAGGCCTACTATAACGTCCACCAGAGCAGTTTCTGGCCCTGTTTATTCGTCGACAGAACCTGCAGACCTCCACAGCACTCCCGACGCAACTCCGCCCATATCTTTGTTGGTGGACAGTGAGATCGAATTTGTGAGGCGGCGCTCCAATGGCACATAATAAATCTAGAATTAGAAGCATTCGTCTTGGCCGTGTCTCAATGGCAGTACGGCTCCAGCGCGAAGTACTTGCCATATCCACAGACAACACCACAGTTATCTGGTGTCTGCGTAACCAGGGGCCTCCTCACTCATCATCCCTACCGTCTCAGACCTTCCTGTTCTCCCAGTTACTACACATGAGTCTACTGTTCCTTTTTTCCGTGACTGGATTTCACACATCACACTCTTTTTTCGTGTGGCTGTATCGGAAAGGAAGGCTTGTGGTTTCCGTCTTTTCCCGCTCAGGATGCTATCTGGTTACCTAGACTGGGTGGAGGGTCTATCCTAAATTCTCACAGCTCCGTCTCCTTAGTAAAAAAACAGCAGTAGAAGCATTAAAGGGGCACTGATCCACAACAATTCCCTGGGACTGGTTGTTGCCTTTGTTATTGTTTTTTCCCCAGTGAGTACCCGTATGATATAGCAGAAATCTAGACTAGTTTGTGACCTGTGTTGCGCCATTCGTAAGCGGATTTGTCGCTTTTATTAATAGTGCAAGGGCGTATGGTCACATTGATCAACAAACTGAAACTTGAAAATAATAAGGAAATGTAGGTATCTTTGCATTGGTAATGATGACGATAGTTTTGCTTGGTATTGTGCGATTTTCGTGTACATTATTTTGACTTGCAATACAAAGTAAATATTTCACCTGAGCGTTGCTTAATTTATGGTGTGTATATTTTTCAAAATAGGTTGCCATTTAACATTTTCACTTAGGCAATTTATTATTATTCGACAAGCGCCTCCCATAGCGCCTCTGCAGATGCCTCCTCAAGCGGCCTTTCAGCTGGCGCCTATCTACACAGGGCCCATACATCATGATACAGATGTCCGCGCCTCTGCCTCTGCCGCGTCAGCTGACCTCACACACTCCTCAACACCCCAGTAGGTGGGAGACTGAGTCACTTCTGGCAGCTAATGAGCCGGAACATCACGGCGCTGCTAGACAAGAAAGCCATAGGGGGTTGTACACGCCCCAGCCATAACACCAGGCTTCTACTCACCTGTCTTCCTGGTCCCCATGAAGGACTCGGACAAACACAGGATGATCCACAACCTTGCCGCTTCCAACAAACGCTACCTGGCGCGTCCACCTTATTTCAGGACGACCAATCTCAGGCTACTGCGATCCCGGATATTGAGGACACCTACCTACATGTCCCTATACATCCAGACGACCGGAAATTCCTCCGCTTCATCTTCATGGGAGTCCATTATCAATGGGCGGTCCTCCCATTTGGAATTTCTTCAGCCCAGTGGCTATTCACACCGATAGCTGGGACATCAAAGTTCGAGGCGTACATAGACGACTGCCAACTGGACCATCGGGACCCTGTCACTCTACTCCGCCACAGGGACTTCACCCTCCGGCTCCTACACCAGCTGGGGTGGAAGATCAACCTCAGGAAGTCAGAGTTGACACCCTCCAAGCACCTTCAGTTCATCGGGGGCCTCTTCCAGACAGACCTCGATCTCATCTCTGTACCCGGCTCTCCACCTACTTGGCAGGTCCTCCTGGGCCTCCTAACCTCAGCGCCCCCAGGACCCCACCGTATCCATCGTCCTCCCGGGTCATCTCAAGCAGCATCTCCGGTGGTGGACGGTGGAATCAAATGTCTTAGGCGGCATCTCCTTGACAGGGCTTACGACCTCTCTGCGCCTATTCGTAGACGCGTCCCTACAGGGATGGGGTGCACACCTGGTGGGACAGGTCGTCTCAGGGCTGTGGTCCACCAATCAGCGCCTATGGCACATAAACAACCTCAGACTGGAGGCGCTTATCTTGGCCATCGCTCAATGGAAGCAGGTCCTCAGACACGCCCGGCTCTCCATCTCGACGGACAACATCACTGTCGTATGGTGCCTCAGGAACCAAGGAACGACTCATTCGACTTCGCTCCTTCAACAGACGTTCCGATTGTTTCACCTGGTGGATCATCAGGGGATTCAGTTCCAGGTCCACCACATCCAGGGCTGCCAAAACATCCTAGCGGATGCCCTATCTCAGCCAGGCAAAGTGGCTCCCACAGAGTAGAAACTTCACCTAGACGCCTTCGCTCTTGTTTGTCGAGACTACGGTCTCCCCAACATAGACCTATTCGCTACCAGCCAGAACTACCAGATCCCGACCTACATATCTCCGGTGCTGGATCCACTGGCTTGGGCAGTTGACGCTTTCAGTGTCCCCTGGGAAGGACTAAAAGGGTACGCTTTTCTGCCACCTGTACCCCTTCCCAAAGTCGTCCAGAAGATCAGATCGACACGGAACCTCGTTCTGACTTTGGTCGCACCCTGGTGGCCAGCAAGGGCTTGGTTCGTTGACCTCAGAGAGCTGTCCGACACCAACCCACTGCCACTCCCAGATTGGCCAAATCTGCTGATCCACCCTCACAGCAGACAGCCACATCCAGGACCAGACAGGTTATGTCTTCACGTCTTGTCCATTTACAGAGAGCACTTAACGCCAAAGGATACTCGACCAGAGTGGCTAGGGCCATCACGATGGCACATCGCCCAACCAACAGGAGCCTCTATGATGACAAGTGGCAATCCTTCTAGAGCTTTTGCAGGGGCAAGCACCAAGACCCCACATCTGCATCACCTCAATTCCTGGCCGAGTTCATGCACCATCTGCATTACAAGCGTAAGCTAAAGGGCAGTACCATCATGACCTACCTTGTGACGCTCAACTCTGTCCTGGCAGTTTCGAAAGATTGACGCATGACAAAAATCCGGGAACTCCGCTCATTCAAACTGGACCACCAAAAGGAGGACTTCTGTCCCCCAGCTTGGAACTTCAACGTCATTCTCATCTCGCTGAGGGACGTGCCTTTCGAGCCACTCCAAACATCGTCATTCTACAATCTGACCAAAAAGACAGTCTTCCTACTGGCGCTCGCCACAGCCGCCCGTGTCAGTGAGCTACACGCCCTAGACGTCAAATGGGTCCGCTATGAGCAGGGAGCACATGGAGCTGTGCATCTGGGCCTGTGCTGGGACCTCATTGCAAAGAATCAGCTCCCAGACCAGCCCGATAGATCATTTCTCATCTCCCCTCTTTCATCGATTGTGGGCGCAGAAGATGAACTAGAACTCCGTCTATGTTCGGTAAGAGCGCTTCGTTGCTACATCCGACGATCCAAGGAACGCCGTAGACAACAACGACGCCTCTTCGTACCGGCATCTGCGACCTTGCTAGCGGAAGTCAGCCGCAACACGATCGCCTTCTGGCTACGAGCCATTATCCTCCAGGCCTACGAGGCCGCGGGATTGGACCCCCCATGCTCCAACAACCAGCAAGAGATCTGATCGGTCGCCTCCACCATGGAGCTACACAGCAACTGCTCTCTACGCGCCATCATGGAAGGATGTTTCTGGCGATCCCACACGGTCTTCGCCAGTCACTACCTGCAAGACTTCGCATTGGAGGATGTGCAAGGCACGCACAGCTTTGGTCTGTTAGTAGTGGCACAGCAGGTCACCACTACTACACATCATTGACTACGCCTCCAAGTCCAGAGCCGGCCATTCGTCCTCCCCTGGCATGAGCCCTGGAATAGAAGGTTCATGTCTCATCTGCATACGGCTCGGTGCTCCAGTCTCGACCTAACCGAGCGTTATTGGCAGGCTGCACAGTACCAGGACACAACGCATACCTGACTCTTCCCTTCCATGTAATGGTCATCCAGGCCGACCATACAGCCGAAGAGGGGCTGAGGGAAACGGAGTTTCCCATACATGGAGTGGTCACCTGATGCCGACCACACAGCCGAGGACGGACTGAGGGAATTGGAGGTTCCCATACATGGAGTGGTCAACCGAAGCCGACCACAGAGCTAAGGATTGGCTAGGGAACAGAGTCTGGAAATAAAAGATGAAACTCCACATCTGAAGGTATGATTCCTTCCGATAAAGATGCATTAAGGAGTAATGCAGGATAAGTAAAAAATCTAGTAAAATCCTAGATATTTTTTTTATTTGTATACTTATCCTGCATTACTGCGTCTAAAGGGACCCACCCATCGCAGATCTATCTCCCCACGATGCCTTCCGATGTTTCGGACTTTAGAGGAATGTGAGGAGCTGTGACATCACTTCCTTTGGTCACGTTGGAGCTGCGTGATGGGCTGGCCTCTCAACTAGTTGGAGCAACTTCTTCAAGCAAAGACCTTCACACAGCTCTTTTCTCTGTCAGAAACAAGCAGTAATATGCATTAAGAAGTAATGCAGGATAAGTATACAAATATAAAAAATATCTAGGATTTTACTAGAACAGTGTTGTGGTCCTTGCTTTTTATCCCCCGCCCAGGCCAGTATGGCCGAAGGGGGATTATGTCGTGGCACAGTCCGTCCGTTCATCCGCCCATCTGCCTGTCCCACAGAGGGTACTAAGCTTGTGAAATCAACTCCTCCTACAGTTTCCAGAGAATATCCCTGACACTCTACACACAAGATGTCGACATGTTGATGATAAGCATATCGCAGTCCTGTTTCATTTCGACATTTTTTTGACAGAGTTACTGCCCCTGTTCTACGGTGCTTCATGAAATCTACTCCTCCAGTTTCCAGAGAATATCACAATATCTAACTATAACTATAACTATAGTTAGTTTCCTTGTATAAGGCTTTTGTGGGTGAGCTACATCCTTATGGCATTAGCATTCAGACTGGATTACTCCCAACAAAATGTTCTGCACAATTTGTTTCAAATGCAGTGCCATCTACCGTTGTTATTTCATAAAATACAAAGAAAATATTACCTCGTTAAAAAAATTCATGCGGGGGATGTTGTGCTCTCAGAGCACTCTTGTCTTAAATATTGTCTAGCCCCTAAAATCCATAGTCCAATTCAGTCTGCATTAATGTCAAGATCACTTATGGTTTAGGTCAAAACTTATTTGAATTAAATTCCTATCAAATTGCTTTCGTTAAAAGCATTGGTGAAAAGTGTTTGCATCAGCAAAAGGACATGTCACAAAGTTATTCCAATTATGAAGGGATGTCAGATATGGCTTTATTATTGTTAATGCATATCTTAGAGATGGTTATGATTAGTTAACTTTGTTGTGCAGGTGGATGATTGATTCTCGTGATGACTTCACTGATGAAAGGCTGGCCCGGATGGAGGACAAGTTCTCTGTTTACAGATGCCACACTATTATGAACTGCACCAAAACTTGCCCAAAGGTATAGTTCTCCACCAAAGTTCCACCTGAACGCCTTCATGTATATTGTACATCAGGAATTTTAACAGGCTACCTGCACCTGTCATATATTTTGTTCAAGAGGGACCTGCCGTGATATTGCTGGAATATTGCTAAAAGCGGCGTAAAACCATACTCACTCACTCAATTGTTCAGGAGGGTTGCAACCGATTTTCAATATAACCACCATAACACCCAATTGAAAACCCTCGTTGTAGCTATTAATCACATATTTTACTTTTAAAAATGTCCTGAAATTTGATGTGTGTGTGTGTGTGGTTAGTTGTGGGGCTAAACATATATAGTTCTATTTTTCATGATGTTTGAAAGTATGATGTTGATTTGACCATGCTCCTAAATTCTCTCAAAATACATTTCTGCACACTGTATACATCCTCTCTTTATAAACCACTAGATCAATAAAGTTTAAACTTCACAAGTTTGTTCTCCGCAATAATGTCACCGGAATTTGTTCAAGAGGTTTCCCCCCCCCCAAAAAAATATGGCGGCTATGGCAACTTATCAAAAAATCGATTTTTGTTCTGAATGTAATGAAATTTAGTAAATGTTTACTTAGTAGTGGGACTCCACAGTTATGTTCAATGTTTTTGCAATTATTAATTTTGACATTATGACTTGTATTCTCTCAAAATGCGTGCCCTCAATGGGGGTTGAAGTATTGTAAAATGATTGTTCCTCATAGAGGCTATTGTAAGATCGTGTCATTCAAAATAGTTTTATATCTCTCTGGTTTCATCGTAGAATATTATTTTATTTTGTTTTTTGACTTAAATGAAGATGTCATGGAATCGGATGGAACATGCTTCTCTGCGTGTATGATGCACACTGCTCGTTACTGATAGATACTGGCACTGGAGCCTATGACAAATATTACGTCATAAGTGCATTGTTTTCAATATCACATGTCATTTGTATTGGACACCATTCATCCAACTGCTGCATGTACCTGGAGACGTAATGTAACAGGAGATATTTCTGTAGCATAATTGAAAGAAGATGAGACAATGATAGTCTCCAGAATGAATGCTGATGGGAGAAGGAGGATATTTAGCATCTGTGATGTAACCTTAGAAAAATGGATTACCACAGATACAACACATGCTGCAGAGTGTATTTTTTATATATATATGGTTACAACCAAATGTTAAATGAAGGTGTCATTTGTTTCTGTAAGTGACAGGAAGCATTTGAATAGGAACTTCTATTGTTTGCTCATCTCATTCTAATGTAAAGGTTCGCCTCATTTTCAACATATCCTCTAAAACCTGAAGGTTCACAAAGCTGAAGTTCTGTGAACATGTACACTTCAACTTTTGATAGGGACATATCTGTTAATTTCTAAACTTATCCTGTGCATATCTTCCTTCTTCTTCCCCGTTGTGGCCCTGGGACCCGGGGAGTATAAACAAGAATGTGTCCTCAGCACACTATTGCTGGTCGTAAAAGGCAACTGATTTGGGCAGCCTGTTTGCCGTGGGCTCAATCTCATTAAAATCAGAACTTAGTTCTCGCTGTCGCTAAACAAAGATCTGAGGACATCCCAATATGGGTCACGTCAGAATGACCTTTCATCCAACCAATCAAAGCGTCGCTTACCAGATCATGAAAGTGACAGTCGGGTGTGTTTTCTAATCATGCAACCTTGGAAACGTTAAAACAGGATATTCCGACGACAGTTACGACCTGTACTCCTGATTCCGTCAAAATTATTGTCTGTCTGTCGCTTCCGTGGGATAAACATTTGAACGGAGGAGACGTTGCACAGTACCTGGGAAGTACTGCCATACAATCGCAACCATATATTAGACATTCCGGAATGTTCGTTTGTTCAGTTTTCAAAATTTTAATCGAGAACTCGTCAACATATTTTTCAAGCGTAGTCTGAAATGGAAGTCGCCAGGTGGAAACGAGTGCCGTAAAGCTGGAGAAAGCTGCTTTCTCATGGCTGATATTGTCTTCTTGTTATTCGTTTCAGTGGTCGGTCAAAGTACGCGAATTGCCGTGGGCTGCAACCCTGTGTTGGCAGAGGAAGGGAGTCTAGTGGTTGAGGGCTACGGAGCCGGCAATAGTACTCCTTAGTCCAACACACCACTTCGACCCTTACTTTGCCTAGACGGGCGGTAGAATGGGCCCGATTATATCAATCAGCTGGTCATGTCATACAATATTTCGCAAAAACTTTTGATATATAAAAATATATTTATTCTTAATGTCTATTGTAAATGTATATGAATCTATAAACATGCTTAGAGCCCTATGCCCAGAAGGCGGTGGCTCATGGGCCAATCTGGTAATGCAGACCTCCAAATTCTGTAAGGCTCAAATTAATTGTCATGGGCCAAACCAGCCTGACCCTTAATTTGGTAGATAGCTATAGCTTTTCGCATCAAATTTGCTGAAGTATACCTCCCCTTTATCCTCGGTCTTTGCAGCTTGGCAATCCGCTGCCGCATAAGACTGTCCTTGTTGACACTCCATGGTGGGTGGGGAAAAGGGGTGCAGAATTATTTTCCTTTCGACATGGCTTCCCAACACCCTGGTTCTAAAAGACTCATCAAATCTCATGAAACTACTACGCCCACTCGATCTATTGGCCTTGATAATTAAAGCTTTGGACAAAGAACACATAAAATTGAATCCATTTGCAATCTCCAAAGGTATCACTGGTATCTGCGGAGAGGTTAAAAATGTCACCAAGCTTCGGTCAGGCTCTCTCCTTGTAGAATGTGCAAGGAGACAGCAATATGTCAATCTTCTCAATCTTCTCAATCTCAAAGAGTTTGTCAATATTAAGGTCGCTGTCTCAGTGCACAAGACACTGAACTCGTGCAAGGGCATTGTCCGTGACAGAGCTTGCTGTCTCTCGGCATGTCTGAAGATGAAATTGCCAAGGAACTTGACCAACAGTCCGTCACAGCTGTCAAACGATTCACCTTAAAGGAGGTTCGTGTGGTTGTACAGACTAACACCAACCTCTTCACTTTCGCCCGAACGTCTATCCCTCTATCGATCAAAGCTGGTTATTGTAGCATCAGAGTGGAGGTGAATATCCCCACTCCACTCCAATGCTACACTTGCCAAATGTTTGGACATGGTTCCAAGTCCTGCCATCCAGGTCCTGTAACCACTGCCTCTATCGACTGCCAGATTGATCTGACATGGGTCAAGTCTGTCCAGCCACTTCCTACTGCTTCTGGGCGGTCGGGTAGCCTACTGGTTAAAGCGTTCGCTCGTCACGCCGAAGACCCAGGTTCGATTCCCGACATGGGTACAATGTGTGAAGCCCATTTCTGGTTTCCCCCCTGTGATATTGCTGGAATAGTGCTAAAAGCGGCGTAAAACCAAACTCACTCACTCCTACTGCTTCACTCCATAAACCAGCTGTGACACCTTCGTCTGTGACTCCTCCAATACAAAAAACTGTAAAAAATGTTGAGTCTCAGACTCCTAAACCAACACCTGAACCAGAACCAGAAATTGCTAAACTTACAAACAGGGAAAAGAAATTATTGAAAAAGAAGCAGTAACAACAACACCTGATAACACAAAAGGCCACCACTCCTTAAGAGGTCCCAGTAGAGGTCCATAATTCCTTTGGTCCTCTGGACATGGTGGTAACTCCATCTCCAAATGAAACAGATAGGAGTACGACAAAGTCCTCATGTTCGCGTGACAATTCACTAGTGGAAGCACATTATACAATGGAATTGCAGAGGTCTTAAGAATTTTAATGAACTACATCTTTAAATCCAAGATTTTAAACCGTCTGCTCTTTGTCTACAAGAAACATATCTAAAAACCACAGATCTATTTGATATCCGTCAGTACAGTTCTTACCACTTGTTTTCCCCTCCTGGTGATAAAGCTACAGGCGATTCCTCTATCCTGGTGAAGCAGAGCATAATCCATAGCCCCGGTCCACTCAACACTACTCTACCAGCTGTTGCTGACCGTGTTACTTTAACATAGTGTTTACACTGTGTTTACTGTATCTTCCACCTTCCTCAACTATCCGTCAATCAGATCTTCAGACTTTGTACGATCATTTCTTGAAGCCCTGTATCATCATGGGCAATTCAAACAGTCATAATCCCCTATGGGGGAGTACTGATACAAATAATAAGGGAAAAGTCCCTGAAGATTTTATCTCAAATATTGATTTATGCATCTTCAATGATGGTAATTATACATATCTTCATCCTGCCACTGGCACATACTCTGCCCTTGACCTGTCACTGACAGATTCAAATATTTTAAATTAATTCGAATGGTCTGTCCACCTTTGTTGAAGTGACCATTTTCCAACAATACTTACAACTATTAATCCGTCTGACGAACCACCTTCAACAAGGTGGAACTTTACAAAGGCCAATTGGTCTTTATTCCAAACACAATGTTCTGAAAAACTAAAACCTGACAGTTTCAGGAATGTTCCTGATCCTATACAACCTTTTTTCTGATACATTAAATGATATTGGAGACAAAAGCATTCCTAAGTCCTCTGCAAACCCTCATATGCGTAAACCATGGTTCGATGATAATTATAAACAAGCTAGAAAAAATAGGTAGAAAGCTGAGCAATATTTCCGCCGACATCACACTGTCCACATCTTGAATAATGTTAAAATCACGGGCGCCAAAGCAAGATGTGCCTGTAAACATAATAAACGTCAGTACTGGAAGAACTATGTCTCAAAAATCAATTCACGCAGACCCATGTCCAAGGTGTGGAACATGATTAATAAAATTAAGGGCAGAGGATCCAAATCTGGAGTTCACCATCTGAAAGATTGTAATACACATTTAACCACTAAATCTGAAATTGCCAACAAACTTGGTGACACTTTGGCAAACCATTCCTCATCATCAAAGTATAATTAGTCTGGTACTTGGAGAGCAATAACCTCCTGAGTGACATCCAGTGTGGTTTCCCCCCCAAAAAGTACCATTGACCATTTGGTGCATTTAGAATCATTTATTAAAAATTCCATTGTCAACAAACAACATATTGTATCAATCTTTTTCGATCTAGAGAAGGCATATGATACATAGTGGAAACATTATATTAAAAGATTTGCCTAAATTTGGATTGAGCGTCAGATTACTGCAGTTCATATCTCATTTTTAAACAACAGACAATTTCAAGTACAAGTGGGCTCTACCCTGTCTGATCATTTCGATCAAGATCAGGGCCTCTCTATAAAGTATTAAACAATAGCGTTGATGGTTCACTTTTTTGTGGACGATTTCAACATTTCTTGTCATGGTAAGAATATGAATACAATAGAAAGACCGCTACAGCTCTGGATTAACAAAATTAAAAACTGGGCAAACTAAAATGGCTTCAAATTTTCTAAATCCAAAACAAACTGTTTTCAAACCGCATAATACAAACCGTATAAGGGTTCAGATTTATTTTTAGATGGTACTCCTATCAAGGTAGTAGAGGAGGCCAAATTCCCGTGGACAGTTTGTATGCGGATGCTGATGAACCTTCACTTGAACAGCACCACATTAAACTTTCACTGCAATACATTACTAAATTGCATTCAAATAAATCAAATCCAGCATACAATTGCGTTTTCCGCCTTCAATATGAAAACCTGTTTCAAAATCTGTGCAACTTGATTCCACCACTTGGAATCAGAATTTAACCACACATCACTGCAGCTAAAATAGATCTAAATATTATATCACCTTCACGACTTCTGTCTTCTCCCTGGCAGATGGTGAAGCCAGAGGTAGACCTCACTCTAACACAGCTTAAAAAATCAGAAACTAATCCTTTGGTATATCAACAATCATATAACCAATTACGATCAAAATATAATTCTCACACATCCATTTTTACAGACAGGTCCAAGGATGATTGCAAAGTTGCAAGTGCCACCATCATTTGATCCAGAACTGTCTCCTCAAGAATCCCAGATAATAGTTAATTTTTTACTGCTGAGGCCAAAGCTATCTTAACATCTTTGACCTATATCAAACATCAAAACCAATCTAAAAATTTTATCGTCTTCTCTGATTCATTGTCTTGCCTTCAGGCACACAAAAGTGTTTCATCATATCACCCTATTATCCTAGACATTTTAGAACTATATATACAGATATAATGATCTTTCTTCTGGCCAATGTGACGTAGTCTTTTGCTGGTTACCAAGTCATGTTGGCATAACAGGTAACTCAAAAGCCGATGCTGCAGCTAAAGCAGCTCTTGACAAACCGTTATCTCCACTACTGATCCTGTACAGTGATTTCAAAGTAACCATCAAAAATTATACTTGGGATCTCATTCATAATAGTCCCCATGATCCCCTGAGAGGTGGCCTAGCTTTGGTTACTGGTGGCCTATAGCCCGGGTTTTATAACTGTATACATAATATTGTAATGCTCAAATATGTTTCATGAATTGTATTTAAATATAACTTTGCATAAATAACTAAATTGTGAATATATATACTTGGTCTTGTCGCTATTTGGCTGAAATAATGCCGATGCGATGTTAAATTTCACTCACTCACTCACTCACTCACTCACTCCACTCCACTCCACTCCACTCCACTCCACTCCACTCCACTCCTTTTTCGACCCTATGTGGAAACGTGCTTCAACCATGTCAACCCTCTTTCCAGCTTCTAAAAAAAACAAATTCATCTGAACAACCCTTACATCTCCATTGTTATGACCCCAGCTTGGTCAATTATATGCCTCCTGTGTATGGCAACCTTACAGGCTTCACCACGTGTCTTTCTACCAACTCATTCTCTTTCTGATCACCACCTTGTGGGGACATGCTTGTGAAGAACTGGTTATGACAGATGACACTGTCATAGACAGTTTTCTTATGGACGATGTCTCCTGTCCCAATCTCACCATCGCTCCTCTGTTCAAGATCCCATTCCTGGAATCTTCACGCTCACTCGATCGTGGGAAGAACTTTAATTTGAACGCTTCTTTCAAGGACGCTCCCTCCAAAGATGCTCCCGAAGCCATACGGGATCGACAATTGGTATCTAAGGATCGGACCTATGATCTCTACATTCCTTGGAATGCGATCGTTCACATTGCTCTCATGTTCGACGCTCCCCAAGACGATTATTCACATAATCCAAGGCGACTGTTTATCAGCTGTTGGGACACTCGACCTATTTTAGATATCTATCACCGGTTATGGATTACCAGCACCAACATGGAAAATACAGTAAGTGCGAGTATCCTCGTTATGACTCTTATGCGAGCGCATTTTCACGATCTTCGGATAGCAGGACGCTGGTCCACCAAGGACTGTTGCCTAGACATCAACAATCTCGAGTTCAAGGCGATCATTTTAGCAGTAATGATACAGTCCAACGACACTGCGGTTGTGTGGTACATAAACCAAATGGGATCCAAGTCAGTGTCATTCCTCATTCCTCTTGATTGCTCTTGAGTTCTTCCAACTCCAGGGTCTCCAGTGTTATAGCAGACTCCCTGTCCCAACCTGACAGACCATCGCCAACGGAGTGGTCCCTGCACCTGACGATCTTCCAAAGGATCTGCCAATTATTTACGGACAGATCTGTTTGTCCCCTGTTTCCCCGCTCAGCTATCCTGATTCGTGTCGCCCATCCCTGACACACAGGCTTAGGATCACAATGCGTTGTCAATCTCTTAGAAGGGCCTCAATGCATATGTATTTCCTCCGACAGGCGTTCTTCCCTGGGGCCAGGTAGAAGCCACCAGTCACCTGTCTCTGACTTTGGTCGCGCCCTTTTGGCCAACACGCAAATGTTTTACCAACTTGCTGAGGCTAGCCAACACACAATTCCATCATCTACCGCTTTGGGAAGACATTCTACTTTTGCCGCTCTATCAGTGGCTCCATCTGGCCCTTACAACGCTCCATCTGGCGCATTTGCTGAAATCCCTTATCGCAAAAGGCTACTCCATGCTCATGACATGTCTTCTCCTACCTCAGCTTCACCGCAACAGATCGCTGAGTACTTACACCACCTGCGATCAACACATTAGCTAGGGCCCAACTCTAGCCACCTACTAAGCAGCGATTAACTCCATCATCGCTGCTACTTCCAGTGCTAAAGTCTCCAATGTGGCAGAACTCCAATCACTCATCCGCTCCTACCAGCTAGTGGATCAATCTTCAAGATTTCGAACCCTTGCGTGGGATGTGAACGTGATACTACAACACTTGACTTCCAGTGATTACGAGCTACATGTGGATAGGAACTACAAGACGATCATGCTGAAGACCGCATTTCTACTGGCCCTGGCTACAGTACCTCGCGTTAGTGATACATGCCCTGGATGATCCAGAAGGGGAAGAGTGTTCCTAGGTCTTTGTTGGGATTTTCTAGCAAAGAATCAACTTCCCGGCAAGCCTGATAGGTTGTTTACTATTTCCCCGCTCTTGCTGATTTTGGGATCGGATGACCAGGAAGATCTCTCTCCCTCTCTCCCGTTCAAGCGCATCATATTTATTTCACTGCATCTCATCAATGCAGAAAATCACAGATGAGACTCTTCCACTTCCGTCTCGGAGATTTCCCCCACTATGCTCTTTTAGTCTTCGCTCCAACATCCTTCGAGTGTATACATACTTTTGCTGGGCTGCCTCCAACCGCAACATCCAACCCACACTAGGCCCGAGCGGTTACTTCTGCAATGGCCTTACACCCTAATTGCACCCTCTCTGCCATTATGGAAGGATGCTTCTGGAAGTCAGACAGTTTTTGACTCTCCCTACCTTCGTGACATCTCACAAGTTCGGCCCTTTGATCATGTCACAGCCCAACAAGCGCAGATAAAATATTATGTACAAATGATTCTCACTATATTTTATTATCTATATACTTAATAAATCTTAAATGTTAACCATTGCGTTTCCCAGACTGAGTCCCTCTTCGAGGATGGATTAACCTGTATGTAGAGACTAATAGTCTTCAACAATGAAGTCGCAACTAGGCATGGCCGTTCCTTAAAACAGAACATGTCCCGAACCGCATGTATCATTGTAAAATTATCTTGAATTTTTTACCCTGCAGTTGCATAAGGTTATGAAATATTCATGATACTTTATTATGTCAAAACCAGTTATTTGTTTGCATAGTATTGTTTACCCGTTGATTATGATCATTAATGTAATGTTGTTAATATTCCAGAAAAATTCAGGCCAGCAACAGAGCATTGTTTTTCTATGTTTCCAGGGTCTGAATCCAGGTCAGGCAATTGGAGAGATGAAGAAAATGCTCCTGTCCTACAACAAGACTACTGCAGCTCATGCATGATGAGAGGAACACGAGAGAAGCAGATGTCACCAGCATAACTTAGCAATGTTCTTGTTGCCAGGGAATCTTCAAGCAACCATCCTAGTACTTTCTTGCCCTTCCTTAAATTCCATTGTAACTATGGCGGTGTAGCAACAGGGCAGTGTAGTAAAATATTGAAATCAGGCATACTTTGCAGGTTGATTTCAGTGGTATTCAGGTGTTTTTTGGCAATGATGTTATTTCAAGGTATTTACGACACTGGTGTGAACATATTTATTTGCATTTATTTTGTGTATATCCAAGAACATTTGAGGCCAGTGATATTCTGCTGCCTCCTTGTAATGGTGATTATGGTCTGTATGTTTCTGATGTTGAATTATTCCTGTTTTTCACATTGTCATCGAAGATCAGACTGACATTTGCCCAACTGTTAGCCCTGTACAGTTATGTTGACTTCCAGTAAATCCTTTAGACATGTTCATGTGTGCAGCTCCATCTGACAAGGGCACAAGGCCACAGCTAAGGTTATCTGTTAACTTGAACATCAAGTAAATGTTGTTTTAAGATTGTGAATGCAACTGACATATTACGATAATCTATGAAAGAATTTTATGCTCAGAACCAAAAATTTATCAATGGTGGACTTTTATTCATCTGAAATACGTAAATGTCACAAAATGTCTGGAGGGACTGGCACAGGTGTTGACACTGGAATGGAACTGGTTTGTCATTTGCACTCTTTGTTCAGGAGGATGCCCAGGTGTGTAAGGGAGGTTGTGAATGCAGGGGTCCACTCACTACTTGGAGCAGTGACATTCCTACAGTTACAGCTGATATTGCTTTATATCGTATTCACGATCCCTGTGTACACATTAGCCAGCCACCAAATGCAGTGGATTTGTTTCTATTATATGTCGAAACGTTACCAGATCAGTGTTTCATTAACTGTTGGACTATTTGGATCATGAACAATGAATTTTACACACAACACTTGTTTTTGATTATTGTGTAACTGTTTATATGTATTTGTGGTGAATTAAACTCTGCCAATGCTTAACTTTTGGTTTGGTTATGAGTAGTCTGTTCTACTTACTCTATTGGACAGTGGCAATGAAGGTGCGTCATCCATCGTCCCATCATAGATAGACTTTCTGTAACTTTGCATGGATGATCCAAGCAGTGTCTCTTCTAAAAGTTGCTTACAGATCCAATCGAAAACATGGCAGTCATATTGAAACTTCACATTTCTTACTGTGACAAGTTTACATGTATCAGTCTATGAAAACCGATAGACTAAATAGCATGTTTTGGGCATATTTTTATTTTTCACCGTGTATGGCATATCATTATAAAATATATACTGAACAACAAAAGTTCCTGTGACATTAAAGAAGATTTAATGCAAAGTTATGTTTTTTACCAAATCTGAAACAATTTCGGTTTGCAACAGATAAAAGACTCCTGTAAGTGTTCAAATGGTTTAATTTGACATACTGACTTCAGAAAATGCATGATTTCATAAAAAAACATGAACATGCCAAAATGTCAATTTACAAACCAATAGCATGTGTGTCCACCTCTGGTTGCAATGCAAGCAACACATCTTCGTCTCATGGAATGGACCAGGCGACGCACAGTCCTGTGGGATATCTGTCCATTCTCATTCAAATCAGATCTTAGTACTCGCTACCGCTAAACAAAGATCTGAAGACATCACATTAGGGGTCACATCAGAACGACCTTTCTTCCGACCAATCAAAGCGTCGCTTACCAGATCATGAAAGTAACAGTCGGAATGTGTTTTCTAATCATGCAACCTTGAAAACGTTAAAACGGGGTATTCCGAACAACAGTTACGGCTTGTACGACTGATTCCATCAAAATTATCGTCTATCTCTCGTTCCCGTGCGATAAACATTTGAATGGAGGAGACGTGGGAATCACTGCCATACAATCGCAACCGTATACTAGTATTAGACATTCAGGAATGTTCGTTTGCTCAGTTTTCAAAATTTTAATCGAGAACTGTGTCAACACATTTTTCAAGCGTAGTCAAAATGGGAGTCATCAGGTTGAAATGAGTACCGTAAAGCTCGAGAAAGCTGCTTTCTAATTGGCTGATATCGACTTAGTTTCAGTGGTCGGTCAAAGTTCGCGAAAGGTCGTTCTGACGTGACCTGTAATGGGATGTTCTCATAACTTTGTTTAGCGGGAGTGAGAACTTAGATCATATTTTAATGGGATTGGGCTCTTCCCCATCTCAAAGGCCGCGTCGAAACAGCGCTAGCCAATTAGAATGCGCGTCAGGATATGGGTAAATTCTTTGAGTGGCATTTAGAAGTTGGAATGGTAACTAAGTCAAAATTGTTATGGATGAGCAACTTCTTTATTACAATTGGGCGATGTTTTGGTGTAGATTCTAACACCTTTATCAAGCAATTGATGTACAAACTAGGTATGAGCATGATATATATACATAACAATAGATAGATGTTTATATAACAGATAAGGTTGATGTACACTGATTGATTAGGTAGTTATGATAAGACAAGTTTATACAAGAGATAGGGTTGATGTACAGTAATTGATGGGTATGGGATTAACCCAAGGATTACTAAGAAGGAATGTATGGGAAGCCAGTGGGGAGATACATCAACTACTGGGCTGGGGCACAACATAACCCCATTCTTAAACAAATAACACTGAAATATCAAAATGCTAGACCCACCACCATCAAAAAATTAAAAAACAATAAACACATAGCCCCTTTTATCACCCACCTTTACAATCTCATAAAAACTTACAAACTAGAACACATAATCCACAGACCTCCAAACAATACATACATCCATGACCTCCCCCAGCGAAACAGACACAGCCCTAACCATAACATTAAAAAAACACAACAAACTCACAAACACAGAAAAAGGCACAATATCACTCAACTGCATTCAAGACAACTGGCCGGAACACACACACATATACACAGATGCATCATATAATACAAACAACAACAAAACAGGGCTGGGTATCCACATAACACAGCCTTCACCAATCACCAAAAAATACCACTACACAAACTATACTCACACAAATACAGCAGAATTACTAGCCATATTACAAGCATACTACCAAGCTGAAACAACAAACCAAAACAAAATCATCATCTCTGAGTCACAATTCAATTCAACTAATTGCAGACAAACACTCGAAAACCAGACCCGACCTTTTTAACCAGATAATAAACACCCACTCAAAACTAAATACAACAAATAAAACAATAACACTAGTGTGGGTACCCAGCCACACAGGCATACCAGGAAATGAAATCGTTCTGATACAATTATTAATAATTTTGACCTAAAATACGCTCATAGATCATGCCAAATTGTCCACTGTCGCCTTAGGCTCGGCTGCAGTGACCTAAACGCTGACCTAAACGCTGTATCAGACATATCAGACTGCACTTGTGGGTATCACTTTGAAGAGGCAATTCACTTTTTCTATACCTGTCAAAAATACCATAATATCAGAAACACTATGTACTTCTACACACATGGGTATGATTTAAAAACGGTATTACATGGCAATAGTTCAGTTAGCAGTTCTACAAACATGACTATTCTTAAATCAGTTCACGATTTCATTGCCAAAAGCAAACGATTTGAGTTGCTTAATTTTATGCATGTAGTATTGGAAAACTGCTATATCTTATTTCACAGACACCACTTGTATTGGCTTCATATATTTCATTTGTGCATTTAGTATGTGTTTATGTTTAGCACTATTTTACATATAATCTGATATATAACCAGCTGTTGTAAAGTTATTACCTGGAGAGGTATTACATAAGCAAGTTTTGCTTGTTTACCGATCCAGATTTCTTTTGAAATAAAAATATGTTTAAAACAAATGAAATCACAGATCAAACAGCAAAAGCAGCAACAAATGAACAGTCACCCACAATACAATTCCATACAATCAAAGCTGAAACAAAAACATTAATTAAACACACTGTAAAACAAAAAAGTTTCCAAAATAATATACAAAAATGCAAATCACAATGGATAAAAACACTGTTCACCACCCCAATTACAAAATGGAAAAACTATACAAACTCCATTCTAGCAGATAAAATCATAAACAGAATACATAGCAACCAAACCAACTTAAACGAAACACTTCATAAACAAAACATATCCAAACCCAAACTGCACTCAATGTAACACCACAGAAGACATAAATCACATATTCAAGTTTCAACATCTGTACCAAGTATAAACAACAACAAACACTATACAACTCCCTCCCACCCAACTACAAAAACAATATCACAATACTATTTAAACCAAACAACCCCCCAGCCACTTATCTACAAATAGCCACTTTCCTTAAAGCAACAAACTTAAAAGCAAAACTTTAGACCATCCCAAACAAATTCACTGTCTAAATCTCCACTATAACAGCAACTTTTCAGATTCGGATCGGGATCCAAATTCTCAGCGCGGATTGTCTTCTACGACGTCCGCGCTTCAAATTCCGCCATAACCAGACACATTAAAATAATAGCCGTTTATCCAGCCACCCGCCCAAGGTCAGGGACACCACTGACACTGCCACACGCACCGCGACTTAGCCAATTATTAGCTTAGGTCACCCACCCTTATCCATTATTATTTTATTTTCTACTATTATCTATCTTTTCTTATTATATATTAAAATATCATCTTAACTGATCTTTATTTTATTTTCATTATTATCTATATCACCTTTTATCCCTATTTACATTGGTTAATGTAGGACTTTACAAGCACATTTGGCATCCCTTTGCCTCTACAACCCAAACCTCTCTTCTCTCCTACTTTACCCCCTTCATTTACAGTCTTTTGGGCTAGACGTTTATCATTATTACCACTATTTATTGTTTTATACGACCCGTCTGCCCCGAGTGCGAAATAGCCAGAGGCTGAAGCGCTCGTAAAATCATAAACTATTGTAATTGTATACTTTGTACATCATTTGCTTGATAAAGGTGTTAGAATCTACACAGAAACGTCGCCCAATTGTAACAAGAAAACATTGATGCAGAGCATCAAAGTTCCCCGCCATATGTGATGCCTCACAAACGCATAATTATGATGTTACTGAAAGGCATGATGGAGCATAATTATATTAACCACAAATAACACAACGCTGTTGTGGAAAAAAATATTATTTATTTTGAGTATTGGGCAATATAGTTGATACATTTGCATATGGTAGGTCTATTTAAAAATAGTTTCTTGTTTAACGCCGCACTATTCAAGCCATATAACGGCGGTCTGTAAATAATCCAGTCTGGGCCAGATCATCCTGTGATTGACACCAAGAGCATCGAACTACCCAATTAGAATATGATGTTATGCATCGACCACATCGCCTCTTACGGCAAGCATAGGTTGCTGAAGACCTATTCTTACCAGGGTCTTTATTTAAAAATAAGATCGAAGGAAATAGAAGCAATTTCTGGCACAAATGTAAACATGTGGAAATAATATCAAAACTGCCAACAACATTGGCAGATGCACATACTCAAATAATAGATCACATTCTTTTTACACTTGCCATTTGGTTATAATAATGTAAATGAAAATACTAAGGACTCCAAAAAAGTCATACTAGATAAGGTCTTTTTGTCACAACCACAGATGCACAAATATTATCAAAATATTGTCACATAGTTGGAGAACATTTCAATACCGGGACTAATCAATAACGGAGATTCCTCGTCTCTTGTTTTACGTTTTTTGGTCAGTTTCTTTTTTGTATTTCTTTCTTTCAAAGAATAGTAATTGTGATCATGATGAGTTGAGTTACTTGGTTTTTTTTCTATGTACTGTTTTTTATCCAGTGTCAGTAACTGTTGTGGAATGTGGTTTACTTGTAACAATGACTGGTTTGAGTTCATATGATGATGATTGATTGGTTTGTCGTTTAACGCCGCACTCAGCAATATCCCAGCTATGTGACGGAGTTCTGTAAATAATCGAGTCTGGACCAGACAATCCAGTGCGATTTTGAAGTATCTCTTATTGCTGGAAAAGAATAGCATCAACATTCCACGCACATTATTTGTATGTTTTGTTTCCGTAAAAGCCGCGTGGCTTGAAATTTCAAATAAACCAACATGTCGACATACATGCTACAAAATTAACGTTTCCCGTATACTTCCCCGCCTTAAGGGCGGGGAACAATAAAGAAGTTGCTCATCCATAACAATTTTGACTTAGGATATGAGTAGTTTGAGCAATATAATCCCGAGTATTTAAATTAATTTTTGCAATACACTTTTGTTTAACAAATGTTTATAACTGAACAGAATTGTGTTATATTAATTGATGACGTTACTTGTGAGGCCATGGTGGTTGATTGATTCAAATGTACACGTGCGTTTGTTTACATTCGGGAAACGACTCCATTGACTGCGACATTCGTTCATTTGAGCCATAACTAGTCTACATTGTCTACATGTCTAAGCCTTCCCAAACTACAATAATAATATGTGTAATGTCCTTTTGATAGTATACCACGAGATTAACAATGTATCAAAGTGATTAACTAATCACCGATTTCAAAACAAATTATTCGAGTACCTGTTAAATATATACATTTTATATACTAATATATGATATTTTGTTGCGGACATTTTAGTCCATTTGAAAAATATACAAATGTGTTTGTAACAGACCACGATAGATTATTCTTCAATAAAGACAAGAAAATATATAAGTAAATTTCATACTTTCGATTAATAAAATATATGTACTATTGAAATATTAGAATTTGTAAAGTAGACATGTAACCATAGAGATGGCTGTGTTTGGTCAGGTCATTAATGTTGTTTTAATTTGACGATATTCGTGGATCATGTCAAAACTACACAACATGTATGTCAGCTTAGATGATTTTCGAGGTGTGTACCCATAATACATTTTATTTTTAAATAATATCTATAGGTTTGACTTTGTCAGACATTACTCTGGGGTATAAATTTAATGTATATCATAGTCTCAGCAGCTAGCGCTGACATGTTATGATGTATGGGACACGCCGTTTTCCCATAACTAGGACTTTACAATGATAAGTAAGTAAATAATAATATTAAAACGGATTTGATTCCTATGATTATATTTTGAGTGATTGTCTGGTTATCTAAATTACACCTACACACACATACCTCTGTGTTTTGCCAGATCCCAGTAACACAGATCCAAATCCCATAAAATTCGATGCCACAATAAGTATTGATACAAGTATTTGATGGTTGGTTTACCACAAATCATACACCCAAATACATATAAGATACCCTAAAAGAAAACCCTCGTTCTAACATATGTTAGAGGAAGCTATCGTATCAATGTCAGCATCAAATACTTACATAAATTGTTAATGCAAACTTAATGTAATAAGAGTCATGGGTATTAAATTACTTAAAAGGGTGACGTACACATAAATTGCATTATTAAGCATTGTAAGGACTCTATTATTCCCAAACAATTTATTCAGTGAAATTAAAACTGTTGCAAAGCTGTATGTTTTCATATCAAGCACATTGTTTGTACTCAGTTTGTATACTGTCTTTAATTTAGTTAAGGTTGGAATGTGTTTTCTCTGAACATCTAACGACCTTTGGATACTCAAGTTTGTTTGTTTGTTACTTTGCGCCACACGAAACACAAGGACGGCTGCTCGTACATCATCGAGACTTGACCAGGCAAACCAGTAACTGACATTGTAACCAATGATCCACGCCATCGGGGTACGATGGGACGAAACCAACTGATCCTGTCTGACCACCCCATCCATTGTGTCGCATCTTACGACAAGCTTATAGGCAACATGGGAGTACCCACGGGGGTTGAATAATTCTTCGTCTAACTTTGAATCTTATAGATAAATTTGTTGTTGGGCTGAAAACTAATGAGTTGAATTGCTTAGTAAATTTATTATGTATATATTTATATCAGAGAGGTTCAATGCTTTTACAACGGGAATAGGCGAGTGCTGCTGTGCGCCTTCAGTAATTATACTGTAAAAGTCCCAGGTAGAATAAGAGTTATCGTTCTTGTTTGAAATAGTTTTCGTGCTCATACGGCAATATGGGAAAGCCTTCGAGAGGGGCACGATTCTACATCGGCTTGTCCCGGAATGGGACGAGTTGGTCACGAATGGGGGAATACCATCAGTGATGGCTTTTTCGTTTGTGGGGACGCCTGTCGTTTTTATTGTCCGTTTTTCAAATATAATTTTGGTCAAGCATTTATGATTAAGTATGCCCTAAAGTATTAAATTCTCCAAAGTTGCTATGTTGAGTGTACTTGCCCTTTAAATGGTCAATAATGAATGTCGATCGATCGTTGTGAGCTGAGATGTTCAATATTGAAAGTGAAGGTTAAGTTTGTTACTATAAACACATGCATATATTTCGCGTCCTCAGTCCGATACAAGGAAACCAGCGTTAATAAACGGTTTCCTTGTATCGTACCTCGGGTATAAACTCTTCATTCGTGTCAGAGACCATATACCGATATGGTCTCTGTTCGAGTGTATAGCCTAGAAATGTGTATGTTTTTCACCAAATTAATAATAATGTACATATCAAGAAACAGTAAAAATACTTATGGTGTATAACAAATGATGACTAAGCTCAGGCATAGCTGCCAAATCCAAGTCCGATGGTTACAAGTGGAATAGCATCGCTTAGCAATAATTATTTACTACACAGCCGATCAGTATAATACTATGCCGGTTCATTCAAACATATTACATACACCACGGTTGGTCTACTGAATCTTGCTTCAGGCTTTTTTAACGATGGTACTTGGTGGTGTTAAATTCCGTACTGCAATGTATGCCGGCTGCTACGTCCCACTGCACAAGGAAGTTACCCGCTGCTGAGCCCCAGACCCAAACGAGGAAGGCAAATTCAGCGCACAATAAAAGGTGACCTATTACATTTCCCCGGGTTTACCCATACTGGATACTGTCACTACACTGCTGTGAGGGACAGCGGAGTCTACGCGTGAGTATTGAAACCATTAGGTGCTGTATCATTACTGACATTGGACATTTTGAAAATATTATGTTCAGACAAGTTTCAAAGGCACATTAGCTGCACATGGCGAATACTGACCCTCCTTGTAACGTACAATACAGCAAGCTACACACAGGTTGATGGCGGTTATATGAGACGGCAATCGTGCGACTGGGAATCTTTCTGAAGCAGGAAGTAAATTGGTGTGTCGTGTAACAGACGAGATCAGTCTCTAAAGCATCATGCCGGACTGGGGAACAGTGGCAACCAGCTCAGTGGTCCTAGGGGTTGGATGTGTCGTGTCAGGATTCCTCACCACAGCCTCGCAACAGTAAGTACAGTTTGTTTACTTTGTGTCCATAACAACTCTAGCATAACACTACAGTAAGTACAGCCTGATTACTGTATGCCTATCACAACTTTATTATAGCACTGCACTTTATATATATATAAGTACTTTTGTTGTTGAGAATATATATATATATATATATATATATATATATATATATATATATATATAATAAAATGATAAAGTCCACGTTAGTCCATCATCTTCTTTATATCAGTTTCATACATTGTACCTTCGCTGTCTCATGACAGCTCTTCAGTGTAACTGACATATACATATAATGACGTCATACTTATGATGACGTCATAAATTACAACTGTGACGTCACAATGTATTTACACACTCCAGCGACGACACCAAGTAATTTAACAATTGTAGGGAGACATTTGAATTAAATATACAGTATTTGTAAAGTAACAGTGCAACATTTACGATTGAAATGACAAATCTATTAATACATTCTAGAGTTCAACTTTGGTTTCATCAATTGGATAAACATTTGTTCTTTTTCCAGTCTCAGCTGCTTGTTACTTGTATACAATTTATAAAACGGAAAAATAGTAAATTTCCCGTTTCCGCAATCATCAATGTGTTTGCTGACACCTAAGCATCGAACATTAGGGTCTCTAATCTGCTGTTTGTGTACAGTGACTCTATCTTTTATCTTAAGCTTAAGTTATTGAAATACATATAATACGAATAAACAAAAATATAAACCTGATTCTAAAATCAATTTTCTAAATAATGATACTTGATACTCATTAAATTAGACGCTTTGGTCAAAGTAACCGAATAACTGTGTTTACGTGTCGTTCTTACTGAAATCACCGTTTTATTTGATTCGTCGTTCACTGCTGAACAAATCGGGAATTTTGAGAGTGAGAGGGAGATGATTACTCGTCCTAAATGGCAGTGGGGAGGAATGTTAAGGAATAATAATTATGGTAGGTAACGCGTTCTCGCAATGGCATTGTGCGAACTGCAAGAGAATATTGAAAAGCGATTCCTCACTCTTCTTGTAAGTTCTGATTTTAGCCAAGGTAGACTAGCACATAGTGCAGATCAACAGTGTTCAATATGGTTAATACATTCTTAAGGGTTACAAACGAGACATTGTGTGACATAACAGTTAAAGGAGATATGCTATGAGTTTTGAGGATTTCCAATAGATACTGCCTCAGTTATGTGCATTGTTTTAGCACCACTAAAATTTTTAAGAATGTCTTTTGTACATTACTTGATTCAAATGTAATTTCAATAAATCCAGATTGAAGGTTGGCCGGATGAGCCCGACTTCATGGGATGGCAAATTACCGCCTTCTAACGAATTCGAGAGCATAAATCTTGGCTGCATGGCACTGACATACAGATTCGCCAGAGTCCGGGTTTGTGTGATTCCATACATATCTTAGTCATGGAACAGATTAAGGTACTAGTCACACAACCTTTAATTACCTTTATTCTTACACGCTAAATACCAAAGTTAAGTTCCACGATGTTATGTACAGGGTAATATGCACATGTAGTACTATCATGTATGAATATACAGGGGGCGCCACATGCACATGCACCATGCAAGTATTAAGGAGACCATATGTGTGACATCTGCAGTTAAACCTCACTGAATGAGTGAGTATGATTGTACGCTTCTTTTAGCAATATTTCAGCTCTATCAGAAACGAACAGAGTGCCCATTTAGGGGATCGAACCCGCACCTACGGTGTGACGATTGAACAACATCATCATATCTATCGTCAAATGCATAATACGATACTGCGCCTTTAAAATATGTGTTGGTGTAGTCTCTGAATATCCGTTAACACACGGTTGCCATTCTGATTATATGCGAGCTACACTGGTTGATCTTAATTGTTAAAAGGTTTTACATAGGATCAGTGGCTTGGTTAATTGTTTGTCATCGTACCCCGACGGCGTGGATCGTTGCTCATGATATCAATCACTGGATTGATATGTACAGACCGCGTCATATAGCTCGAACATTGCTTCATGCGTCGTTAAACAAGAAAAACACAAACAAAACATTATCTACACAGACTTCTATCTTCAGATAAACACCCTCTGCTTGTCTCAATTGGTCTATTGTAATAACATTATATTGTCTCCGAAAATAGTAAAGATTTAAAAACAACTGCGCTTTTCCTGTAAAGACATATAGAGATATTTTTTGTGGTAATCTTTGATGGAGAACATCTTCATATTTTTAAAAAATAGATCGTATTTGTTCAATATCATATACAAGCCACAGCGTTGTACATTCACATGGGCTTGCGTGTACATCCAGTATTCCGACATTATTGAGGATTGTTTTACAATTCTCTCCACAGATAAATAATATCAATTTCTAGAAAATCTATACTGGCCAAAAAAATCTGTTTTTCAAACGTGACTGTTATTAAAGATGAAGGCTTGAACTCAATATAAATGTCATTGCTAACTGTGAATATTGACCATACACTAATTTATTGCACCCGAACACAACATTTGCTGATTTGTCGCCAAAATAGGGCATCTTGAAACCAAACTGGGAGAAATTGCATGGAGAAAAAGCTGTAAGCATGCTGCACGTGCAAATACGGCTATTTAACCTTTATACCGATGGGTCTAAAAAATATTGCAGTCCTGCTGAGAATCACTGTCCGATGTTCTGTATACGCGACTCTCATGATGCCAAGACTGAATGAAGACTGTAGAAACAGAGCCATTGGACGTCTGGAAGTTGGAGAAAGTCAGACATCAGTAGCCAGGCACTTTAACGTGAGGCAGAGTACCATTTCTCGTCTGTGGCAGCGATTCAGACTCCACAACTCTACAAGAGATCGACCGAGAAGTGGAAGACCCAGGGTCACAACTGCGGCGCAGGACCGCTTCATCCGGGTGTTGCATCTTCGCAACCGGACAGTCAGTGCAGCATACACAGCTAACAATGTTCCTGGTCTTCGTAGAGTCTCAGCCCAAACCATCAGAAATCGTCTAAGACAGCATGGGATACGGACAATGAGACCATACACAGCGCCCGTTCTGCGGCAACATCATCGTCGTGCACGTAGAAATGTTCGACCATGGACCCTAGTGCACTGGAGAAGGATATGGTTCAGTGATGAGTCGCGGTTCATGCTGTATCGCCATGATGGTAGGATGCGTGTCTACAGACGGACAAATGAACGCTACACTCGACACTGTTTTCATGAAGCCGACCGATACGGCGGTGGAAGTGTCATGATGTGGGCAGGCATATCCGTGAATGGTAGGACAGATCTGGTGCACGTGCAGGGAAATTTAACTGCTGTACGCTACCGTGATGAAATCCTTCAACGTCACCATATTCCCGCCATTGACGTCAGAAGAGAGACTTTCCAGCAAGACAACGCAAGACCGCATACTGCACTTGTTACCATGGATTATCTTGCCCACAACATTGTTACTGTGCTGCCATGGCCCTCCATATCGCCTGATCTAAACCCCATTGAACATTTGTGGGATCTGGTAGACAGACGTGTACGACGCCGACAGCGTCAACCACAGACGCTTCAACAGCTGAACCATGCATTGCAGGATGAGTGGAGAAGGATTCCACAACGCCAGACTCGACGACTCATACAGTCCATGCCCAGGCGGTGCAGAGCTGTGATCGATGCTCGTGGTGGTAACACCCGGTACTGACTTTGGCACAGTGCCATCACAGACACAGACGCCCCTTAGAACATTAAAAGGCTGTTTGTAGTGTAAGAAACACGTGCCTCATCCTGTGTAAAATTTGGTTGTTGTATCTTCATTATTTATTGTGTAATCCTATTTCATTAAACATGTAATGAAACACTGACTATTCTGTTATGCGTTTCTTTTTTTGGCCAGTGTATTATCAGAGAACTGCATAAAAGAGTTTAGGTTAGGAAGTTCGGTCTAGTAAGTATGTGTTTGTTTGTTTGTTGTTTAAAGCTGCACCCAACAAAATTCCAGCTACATGACGACGGGGTATAGTAAGTAGGTTTTTGAGACAGCAATATAATGCGTTTTGTTATTTATGTGTTTAAGGATTCTCTATCAAGTTCGCTATACATCATAGATCAAGCAAGGCGTTTGCATTAGTACAGACTAGCGCCCACGTACAGACTAGCGCGCACGTACACACGTGCATGCACGTTGCTACACAAGTGTATAACCTTGAAAATGACGTTAAATTCCATTACACCTCACCTCACCTCACCTGAGACCAACTATAAGTGTTCAGAGCTTAAAGTCGACTCTATTACGTCTGTGTTTCTTGAACATAACCGTATGTCGACGTGGGCACAAGGGCATGCTTTCCTCTGGCGGGCACACCAGCGGAGGTACAACATAGCACTCTGTACCACGACCAATGTCTAATTACAGGAGGCTGTGGTTTGATCCTAGTTGTAATGTATTGTCAGTGGCTTGTTGCCGCGTTGTCATGAGTTAATCTATTATCAGATGAGGATATAATTTGCGGAGAAACCTTTCCTGTAGTAACATGTCCGTTTTATTTCCTTGTACATGACAATAGAAATGATGTCTAAGGTTCATTCTTTATCGACAATGATTGAATGTTCAGAAGTTCAGTTTGGAGTGTATTCTATGGGCAGGAATTATTCCGGAAAGTCAGGATACAATAGTCTGTAATTTTTTAGAAGTGGGAGAAATGTACAATCAGCAGTGGTATAGGGTTCTGTCTTTGTCTTGCCCTGTACCGGTCCACGCCCTGAAAAAGCTCAAATGCAGGTCTTTTGTTTTTTATGTCATAAGACAGACGAGTACAAAATACATGTCGGGACTTGTGGTATCGAAATGCGTGTCTGGCCTTGCGACAACAAAGTTTGACTCAATAGCGCTTAATAGCAGAAGCGCTGTGTTCTGTCATGTGTCCTCAATCATCAATATTTATGTGATTTGACAGATGGGCTGCCCATGCCAACACTACAGGACGGCATGGTTCACGGATGCACACTTTCGACCATTCATTCTTTATGGTAAGATTCCCACTCTGTATCTTTCTCTCTCTCGATATATATATATATATATATATATATATATATATATATATATATATATATATATATTGTGAATAATGATAGAATGTATACTTCCGTGAAATACACAAACATGAACCTGCTTGACCTGTCGCCATACAACTAGTATTAATGTTACAGCAAACATTCCTATTCCTGGGCCAACTGTCGTGCCTAGGACTCCACTCGATCATACGTAAAGTACGCGGCCCACAGCCTCCTGGAGATGAGGAGCAGGAGGAGCCAGTTGGAAGAGTTGCGGCCCAGATGCGGGCAAGAGCAAGACATAACCAGGAAGGGAATAGAAAACAAAACCCACAAGCTGGGAATGAAAGGTCAATAGAGGAGGAGCTCAACCACGGAGCTGCAGTTAGAGTAAGGGCACGTGGGAGAGAAGACAAAGCTGCAAACGAAGTGGGTAAGTCACTATCTGTATCTCTTTATCTTCTACACTGCTGCACTCATTGATCCTGTCCACCTTTAACAATAGGCTTTTAGTAAGAAGATCATAGAAAGTGCTGGTTGTTTTTACATCAGATCTGTTTTGTTGGCGGACTTTTCAGGGAACAGGACCTTTTTCTCCATTCTTTTATCGTAAACTTTAACGCCAACTGTTAGTTAAGCTAATTAGTGAAATGGCATGAGACCCATGTATTCAGTACCTGCAGATATTAGCCGCATTAATGAGATGCATGAACAGCGTGGCAAACATTAAGATTACTGAAAAACATATCATGCAAATTGTCAACTACAAACTCATTGGTGTCCCAGGACTGGTAAGATTCTCTTGGTCGGTTTTCATAGTCTTTCATGCTGAAAATCTTACAATTGCTGTTCAAGGGATCAATTTACAAATATCCACGCCATACCTGCCCAGAAGGTGGTGGCTCATGCACCGATCTTGTGATGCCGACCTCCAAATTGTATGTCTTCAATTGATTTACTGGTTATAAATCGATTATATAGCTGTAACTATTAGAGTAAGACATCCCTTTATCTCCTGTGTTTGCATGATGGATATCTGCTGCAATGTAACACTGTCCTTATGAGTGGGGAAGGGATGGCTTCCCATCACTGCCCTTCAAAGAGACACTCAGATGCTGACAATCCCTCATCTAATGAACATTCTGCAAACTGACTCGACTCAACTCAATTCAATTCTTTATTGTATGAAAGGCCACGGGCCCATATACAACGGAGTTACATAACATATTTTATAAAATACAAAGTCAAGGTAACAATTCACTTCGTAACAAAAAAGCATTATGTATGTACAAAGCAAGTTGATGTTGTGTTATAAGATCCTTGCAAGAGAGTAATGAAGACAATCTTTTAGCATTAAAATGAGATAGAGACCACTGCGGTAAGTACTTGTCTCTTAGATTTTCGTATATAGGGCAAATAAACATGAAATGGTATTCATCTTCGACAACAATGTCACAAAATGGGCATAATCGTATCGATTTCTCAATAGATGAAAATCTCCCTGTGTTAATTTTTAGATCATTCAGGCCAAGTCTAAAACGAATAAGCGTGTTACGAGAATTCCTGTACCGTAAATTTGATAAATAGGATTCTGGTTCAAGCAATGACTTGAATTGGCGATAAGTATCATATCTTGAACTTTCATAAATATCTGAATGCCATTTCTGATGAAACATGTCAATGGCACGCATGCGAAAGTACTTAATGAAAGCATTTGCATTACCAATTGTCTGGGACAGCCAAATGAAACCAAAGCCATATGTAAAAAGCAATGTACGAATACAAGAAGCCCATGTGTTCTTTCCAAGATTGTCGAGGTGTACGAGCATGTTGTAGGCTTTCTTGGGTAAACGGTGTTCAGGCATTAATATTATTTTACACCAATACTTCAAACAACGAGTGTAAGATCCAATGTACAATGGGAATCTCCCGCATTCTCCATAAACCATATTACTTGGTGTTGACATACCAACATTCAAAAACTTTTTACAAGCGAGGAGATGAACCTTTTCAATTGTATAGAACTCTTTACAACCCCATATCTCAGACCCGTATAGTAAAATAGGTTGTATTTGAGAATCAAATAATTTAAAATACATTTTTGGTGAAATAACTCCGAGCTTAGACATAACAAAGTGGACTTGTAACAGAGCTTTCTTTGCTCTGTTTGTGAGATTAATTACTGACTTATTCAGATTCAGTGTATGGGTAAACAATATGCCAAGGTATTTGTATTCATGCACAACATTAATACATGTACCTTTAAAAAACCATTTCTCTCTTGTGGCCACTCGACCACCTCTACGAAATATAACAATATTTGTTTTATCAAGATTTACACTAAGTTTCCATTTATCTGCATATTCCGAAAGTATGTTAAGCTGCTTCTGTAGACCAATAATAGTACTAGACATCAAAATCACATCATCTGCAAAAAGTAGCATGAAAAGTTCTATTACATCAGGGGAGAGCTGGACGCCATGTCTACCAGACTGTATGATATCAACATATAACTCATTTATAAAAAATGAGAAAAGTATAGGACTTAAAACACATCCTTGACGTAAACCTATCGGACAATCAAAAAAGTCACTCTTAATATCACCACAGCGAACACATGATTTTACATTTGCATACATTGATTTTATAATGACAAGCATTTTGCCTCCTAAACCCTTATTTTTCAAACACCTCCACAAATAAGCTCTATTTACAGAATCAAATCCCTTTTTAAAATCAACAAAGGCCACATACAACTAACGTTTCCTGTACGATAAATATTTCTCAATGACTGCATACAAAGTAAATATGTGGTCAAAAGTCGAATAGTCCTTTCTAAATCCCGCTTGTGTTTCAGGGATCAAATCTCTCATATTTGACCACTGTGTTAATCTATTATTGATGATAGATGTAAATGCTTTACTAAGGATACTCGTGAGAGATATACCCCGATAATTGACCAGATAGATTTTGACCAGATAGAAGGAAAAATACCTGTATCAAAAATCCGATTGAAACATTTAACCAGAAAAGGCATAGTATCAGGTAGTGAGTACTTGAGCATTTCAGCTACAATCAATCCCAGCAGATTTACCTGTTTTAAGGTGAGATATAGCATTAAATATTTCCGTTTCCGTGATAGGCGATTCCAACAGAAGCATGTCAACATCACTAAGAATTTCACTGACGCCATCATCATCACGTTCAAAGCACTCATTGTCTACCAAATATATCGAATCATCTTTTGAGAATAACTTCTTGAAATAATATAACCATTCTGTTTGGGATATAGATCCTTTGGGGGTAGGATGTCTCTGAAGAGAACGTATAGTATTCCAAAATAATTTCGGACTGTGTAAAGTGCTGTTTAGTCGGACTGGCCGTGACAATTTAAGATCATATTTGAACTTTCTACAAAAGTTTTTATACACATTTCTCAGTTTACAGTAGCGTTGTCGGTTGTATTCACTGCGACAACACCTATACCTTCTGAGAGCCTTACTTGATTCAGATCTTGCTGCCCTACATGCTATATTCAACTTTGGTTTATCGTGTTTATGTTCACCATATTTGATCTGTTTCCTCATACAGGACGCCGAGTCTAGAACATACTGTACCAAATATGTAATCCCCTCCTCTACATTAGCTTCAATTTTATCCATCAAGGAATTTTCATGAATATGCAAGGACCATCTAAGTGCTGTGATAAAAATGCTTTTCTTCGATTCGTTCCATGAAAATGTACTGCTCATAGAGACATCATCCTCACAGTCTAAACTATGTATGGCACGATTGCTACAAGGAAACCTGCAGGATAACTCAAGAGGGAAATGGTCTGAATCTGATCGATCACCAACATTTAACATATCTACATACTGGAAAAAATCAGCAGATGCAATAAAATAATCAACAACACTAGAACCAGTATCTCCTACAAAAGTAAACTCGCCTGTACTATCACCATAAACTCTCCCATTTAGTATAAACATACGAAGTACAAAGCATAGATTCAATAAAATGCGTCCGAATCTATTGATAGTACCACCGTGCGATACACGTTGTTCAACAGGGGCATTGTCAACATCAATGTATACATCATCATGTCCAAAGTCATCACTTTCCTCAGAAATGGGATTATTTTCGTTGCCTGGGCGGGCATTAAAATCACCACATAGTAGCACATGTGAAGAAGTGAAATCAGACCAATGCTCCAATATAAAAGCTTCCACTTTATCAATAAGGCAACCTGAATCAGTTCTCCCTTTGTAAAATGTTGAACCTGCCGGAGGGACATATGTACACAACAACATTAAATCACATTTCAAATTAAACACAGATTTTGGAAATTTTAAACATATGAAATTTTCTATGTCGGTGCTAAGGTGAATGCACATGTTCACAACATCTTGCCTAACGCAGAGACACACACCACCAGAACATCTACCTGACAATGATGTTTTAACTGCTGGGGCAAAGTACATTTGGTAACCAGGTAACCAGTTTAAGTCTGCGAAATCTGATATAAATGTCTCCAAGAGACACACAATATCAAATGATTGGAGGTAGGCAATAAAGTCACAATCATCAAACATTTTACGAAGGCCACAAATGTTCCAGGACAACAATGATAAATGTTTATCGTTACCGGTGTTATTTCCATTCTGTGTCGAATACTGGCCCTGGCCGGATTGTTATCTCTTATGGTAGCCACCACGCTTTGAGGTACTCCTCAATTGTCGTTTGGAGCTCTCAGATTTGTGTGTGTCATGGTTATGTTCATCATTTCGTGGTTTAGTTAACAGCTTACCATTTTTAAAATATCCAATCTTTCACGGCTGTAAGTTGTTCGCGTTGGCGGATAGTTAAGTCACTTGAGACTCCATAACCGATATTCTTGAGTGTTGGTCGAGCTTTCAATACTTCAATCTTGTCATCAGACAGCCGTAATTTAGCAATTAGCGGTCTTGGTTTAGAGGTATCCTCACGTTGGGCGCCGAGTCGATGTGCACGGATGACGTCATCAATCAGTCCTCTATCTTTCACGGCTGTAAGTTGTTCGCGTTGGCGGATAGTTAAGTCACTTGAGACACCATAACCGATATTCTTGAGTGTTGGTCGAGCTTTCAATACTTCAATCTTGTCATCAGACAGCCGTAATTTAGCAATTAGCGGTCTTGGTTTAGAGGTATCCTCACGTTGGGCGCCGAGTCGATGTGCACGGATGACGTCATCACTAACCCATGTCTTGGTCTGAACATTGCTGTTCAAGATGTCTAGTACCTTGACCTTGCAATCAGTGTGCGTCTCCCCTGTTTCCTCTGTCACGTTATAGAGGATAACGTTGTCACGCCTGCTAAATGCCTCTAGCTTGTCGATCTCGCCGTCGAACTGTGCTAATTTCTCTTCCACGTTTTCCATCTTACCGGAGATCAA